TCCAATTATAAAAATATGTGGTTAGGTAAGGAATAGTATTCATGTATATTTAAAATGCTGATGTCTATAAGGGAATATATGGTGTAAGAGTTGTTATTGGAGGACGCTACAGTTATTGATAAGTCACAGTCCATGTTCACATTCTTTATTAGTAGCTAGATCAATATTGTTCATTGGCTTATAAGACAATAAAATTCACTGCTTAGTAATTGACTAAATTCAAGATGGAATACGAGGACCAATGAACATAGTATCTCCTTCCTTTTTATCTCTTGTTCTGCTCAGTACTTTTCAGAATGGACACACTTGAGCTGATTTAACGTCTTCCACGATTATGGAGCTCTATGGTTGCCTCTATATAATGGGAGGATGGGGATTAATGTGAGTAACAGTTGAAATTATTTTCTCGGCATATGTGTTGTTTTTCTTTTAAGGTGATTCATTGTATTATTGAAAACTCTAAGATATAATGAAAGGAGGCACTGTATCTCAGTGATAAATGTGGGCTATGCAAGCTGTTATAATGATTAATCCATGCGTAGAAGACTGAGGATAACCAGTTAAAGAGATATTGATGTGAGAATTATCAAAGTAGAGCTCAGGAAGGTATACATTCTTTCTCAGTTTTTGTGAATTATAGAATTTAAAATTATTAGTGAATTAATGCTTTACTCGATAAAAAAAATTAGAACTGAATGAAGGAAAAGAGGAACAATATTGGATCGATGATGACCACTGGTGGCGTATGAGTCGTTCACGATGAATACGTGTCTGGAACTCTGAGGTCCAACAGAAGAGAAAACCTAGTTTATTCCCATTGTTTGCAGAGATCCTGTGTGGACAGATGTCAGGAATATATAAGGATCTTGTTTTTGGCCTTGGTCTTCATTCATTTCCTTTCAATTTTTGTAATTGGACCAATGAAATAATCAATAAACAAACATAAATAAAGATGAAAGTGACGAAGCATTGTCCAATTATAAAAATCTGTGATTATACAAGACATACTATTAACAGACTCTAAAGTTCAATTAGAAGTAAGTGGTACATGATTCTTCTTACATGTATGGCTAAGGATGTCATAGACAGTAGAAGTCATAGACAAATGTTCAGCTTCTGGCTCAGTGGTAAAATCAAAGTTGTTCATTTTCTTATGAGAAAAAATATTTAGAGCAAATTAATAACTGAGCAATAACTGGTTAAATAAGAGATTAAAAGCAAGAGAGAGAGAATGTCTTGACTCGTTTTATCATATGCTCTGCTTTATATGCCTCAGGACAGACCATTGGACGTGCTTTAAGGATTCTCACCTGATCAAGAGCCCTTGGGTTGCATTTCTGTACTGGGGAGACAGGAGACCAATGTGAGTAATACTCAGAGTTATCATCTTGTTTCTGGTATTTTGTTTAAGGGTAATCATTGTATTAACACAAAGTATGAAATATCATCAAAGAAAGCCAACTGTGTCTCAGTGACAACTATAGGATTAAAATGAAGCAATACATTGATTAAAGTGTTTATGAAAAACAAGACACTTGATGAGAGAGATATTGATGTGTGCATGATTGTATGCATATCGTGCATAAGAGTTCCATCTTGGAGTTTTGCGAATCATATAGTTTTAAATGGAATTAGTGAATTAATGAATTAATCAATAGACAATGTAGAAATGAATGAAGAGAAAGTAGTCTTCTCTGGATCAGTGATGATAACTGCCAGTGTATGAGTCACGGGTGATAAACCATACGTGTCTGGAACTCTGAGGTCCAACACAAAAGAGATGTGGTCTCTCTCTTCATGAATTTCCATTCTTTATTATAATTAGGTCAATGAAATATCAATGAGGAAATATATAAAGAATAAAGTGAATTGTAGAAACATTGTCCAATTTTAAAAATATGTGAGGAGACAGGAAATACCATTAATATAATTTGAAGGCACTGAAGTTTAAACAGAAATGAATTGTATATGACTGTCACCTCTTTGGATAGGGTGATATAGACAGCACAAATTATAGACAGTTGGGTTTTTTTTTTTTAATTTTTTAATGTTTATTTATTTTTGAGAGAGAGAGAGAGAGACAGAGCATGAGCAGGGGAGGGGCAGAGGGAGACGGAGACACAGAATCAGAAGCAGGCTCCAGTCTCTGAGCTGTCAGTACAGAGCCGGATGCGGGCCTCAAACTCACACACCACAGGATCATGATCAAGCTGAAGTCAGACGCTGAACTAACTGAGCCACCCAGGTGCCCATAGACAGTTTTTATACTCTGGGTCAGTGGGAAGTTTGAGGCAGTTCATTTTTATAAAAGACAATGAAATAAATACACTCCAATAATGATTTCCTAAATGCCTAAGTGAGAGGGGCGCCTGGGTGGCGCAGTCGGTTAGGCGTCCGACTTCAGCCAGGTCACGATCTCGCGCTCCGTGAGTTCGAGCCCCGCGTCGGGCTCTGGGCTGATGGCTCAGAGCCTGGAGCCTGTTTCCGATTCTGTGTCTCCCTCTCTCTCTGCCCCTCCCCCGTTCATGCTCTGTCTCTCTCTGTCCCAAAAATAAATAAACGTTGGAAAAAAAAAAAAATAAATGCCTAAGTGAGAGATGTAGAGCAAAGAGCAGTGGAAGAATGTCTCTTTTTTTTATCGTCTGCTCTGCTCCGTACCCCCACCCCCCCCAGAATGGACACACTCAGGCTGATTGTAACGTTCTTCCAAGGTCATGAGCCCTTAGGTTGTGTCTATGTTGTAGAAGCATACAGACCAATGTGAGTAAGACTCAAAGCTTTTATCTTGGTTTGCTTAAGGCTATTCAGTATATTATTTATAAGTATTAAACATAATCAAAGAAGGCAAATATAACAATTAATTGCTTACTTAATGTTAACGTTTATTTATTTTTGAGAGAGAAAGAGCACAAGGGGGGTGTAGGGGCAGAGAGAGAGGGAGACACAGAATCTGAAGCAGGCTCTAGGCTCTGAGCTGTCAGCACAGAGTCTGACGCGGGCGGGGCTCGAACCCATGAACTGTGAGATCATGACCCAAGTGGAATTCGAATGCTTGACCGACTGAGACACTCAGGTGCCCCAGGAATTTATTTATTAATTAATGAAGTTAGTATCAGATTGATAAGAAGCATTTTGTTTCCTAATCCGTAAATGTAACACTGAGGTCAGTTAATGAGAGTTAGTCTCTGTAATACTGTAGAGATAGATGTTAGGAATGTTGAAAGAATATATTCTTATATTTTTAATTCATGTGCATTTTTTGCTTAATGGCTTAATGAATAAATGTTTATGAGAATGGAAAGAAAGAGGGCCAGCCTTAGATCAACGATGACAGCTGGTGGCATATGAGTCATATCTGATGACTGCTCTGTGTTTGGAACTCAGATCTGATAGAAAAGTAATCTAGTCTGTTTCTCACGCGTATAAGGATCCTATATACAAATGTCAGGAATATATAAGGATTTGTTGTCAGTCTTTGTGTTCATGATTTTGAATAATTAATAAAGTTATTAATGGTAGAATAAACAAATGAATAAATGGATAAAGGTGAAGAGGTTGAAGTATTGTTCTTTGGTAGATATATAGCAAGGGAGGGGCACCTGGGTGGCTCAGTCGGTTAAGTGTCCAACTTCAACTCAGGTCATGATCTCATAGTTCATGGGTTCGAGCCCTGCATCAGGCTCTGTGCTGACAGCTCAGAGCCTGGAGCCTGCTTTGGATTCTGTGTCTCCCTCTCTTTCTCTCTCTCTCTGTCCCTACCCTGCTCACACTGTCACTTTTTTTTTTTTTTAATTTTTTTTTTTCAACGTTTATTTATTTTTGGGACAGAGAGAGACAGAGCATGAACGGGGGAGGGGCAGAGAGAGAGGGAGACACAGAATCGGAAACAGGCTCCAGGCTCTGAGCCATCAGCCCAGAGCCTGACGCGGGGCTCGAACTCACGGAGCGCGAGATCGTGACCTGGCTGAAGTCGGACGCTTAACCGACTGCGCCACCCAGGCACCCCCACACTGTCACTTTCAAAAATAAATAAACATTAATATAGGGAAAAGTATTAATATACATTAAAATACATATAAAAGGACCAAGTGTATTATGTCTTTGACTACGGTTGATACAAACAATAAAATGCAGTAGTCAGTTATTGTCTGAATTAGTTCCAGATTTGAAGTTTATTTTTAAGGTAAAAATAAGTAAATATTTCCATAAGTTAATAAATACTTAAATGATTATGTGAGTGAGTGTTGGGGTCAGTGGAGAGAAAGTCTAAGACTTTTCATCACCTTCTCTGGTTGTCTTCAGAATAGATGCTTGAGCTGATTCATTGTCCACTGCGGTCAAGATTATCACGTGACGTTGCTTTTGTGTTAGGAACAAGGAGAGTAATGGTCAAAAATTTCGTTTTGGTTTAGGTCATTTGTTTGTGTTTGTGGTATTATTCAAACGTGATAAATATAATAAAAAGGCTCACCATGGCTACCTGATAAATACGATATAAAACATGGTGTCCATTAATTTAATACGTAGCATTGAGATTGATTAATGAGGGAAATAGAACCTATGTTGGCAACAATCCCATATTAGGAGTTAAGGGTGTTCCAGCATCTTATGCTTCAGTTTTTGCAAATTATACCCATTTTAATATTTTCAAAGAATTCATGATTTAATCACTGCCAGTGTAGAAAGGAAGGAAGCAAAAGTGGGCCTCTGATGGGCCAGTGATGGCGACTGGCAGTGGATGAGTGATGGGTGATGAGAAATATGTATCTGGATATCTGAGGGCCAACGTAAGAAATCATCTACTCCTTCTGTTCTGTTGGATCTTGTAGGTAGGTGTGAGGAACATACGAAGATCGTGTTCTTATTTTGAGTTTGTAGATTTGGGTTTGTCATTATTAGTAGATTCATGATAGAGCCATTAAAGAAATATACGTAATAGGTAAAAGAGAGAGAGAGAGAGAAGGATTATTCAACTATGAACTATGTATATATGGTGAGGCAAGAAGTATTAATAAAATTGAAAATACATATGTTCATTAAGAAATAAGTGGAAAACAGTGTTATCTCCTTAGCTCAGAGTTACATAGACAAGTAAGGGTCTAGTCTTTCTGAGCCAGTGTCAAGTTTGAGGTTGTTCCTTTCATTAAGAGAAAAATCTATTCATGACATGAAGTATTTATAAAGACCTAAATGAGTAAATGGGATGTGAGACACGAGGGTCAATGGAGAGACAAGGTCTTAAGTTTCTTTTTTTTAACCATTAACTGTGCTTTGTACTTCTCAGAATGGACACACCTGAGCTGACTAAGCATTGTTTCGTGGTGGCAAGCTCGTGATTGCGTCTGTGTGTTAGAAGCACAGAGACCAATGTGAGTCAAGTTCTTGTCTCAGTTTCAGCTGTGTTTTTTTTTTTTTTTTAAAGGCTGGTCAGTGTGCCATGTAGAGTCAAAAGTAGCGAACCGTAGCCTAGTGATAATATTGAATTCATATGAAGCATTATGTTAATGATTACATGCAGGAAATTTAAGGTAATTAATGAAAGATATATTGATGAGAGAATGACTCTATATACAAATGAGGAGTATTGTCACTCTCGAGTTTTCTGACTAATAGGATTTTAAATTATTGTTAATGAATTTGTGAGTTGGTCCATGAACAATGTAGAGCTGAATGAAGGAAAAAAGGGACAATATTGGATCGATGATGGCCACTGGTGGCGTATTTTATGAGTCATTTGCGATGAATATGTATCTGGAACTCTGACGTCCAACACAATAGAAATGTAGTCTGTTCCCATTGTTTGATGGGATCTTATACACAGATGTCAGAAATATATGAGGATCTTGTTTTTAGTTGTGTTCACGCATTTTTGTACTACTACTATATTTGGATAAATGATTTGTGAGTAAATCTCATCTATAATCCTGTTTTTGGTCTTTTATGTTCATACATTCTATTTTTTAATTGGGCCAATGACATAATAAATAAATAAATGAATAAACAAACAAATAAATAAGAAGTGGGTGAAATATCATCTAATTACAAAAATATGTGGTTAAATAAGAAAGGCTATCAATATATTTTGAAAACAAATGCCTATTAGGGAATATACGGCATAGTGGTGTTATTCTTTGAGTAAGTAGCAGTCAGTGTTCATGCTATCAGCTACAAGATTGATATGGTTTATTTTCCTAAGAAAAATAAAATATACATTATTCCAACTTAATGCTTATTAATGACTGAGTGAATGAAATGTGGAACGCAGGGGGACCAGTGATCATAAATTCTCAATCTTTTTATCGTCTGCTCTGTCTTGTACTCCTTAGAATGGTCCCACTTGGCTGGTTTAGCAATTCCACCATAGTCATGAGCTCTGTGGTTGCATCTATGTGTTACGAGCACAGAGAACAATGGAATAGTCAAAATTCTTTGCTTGGTTTTGTGGTCTTTTAAAAAAGGTTTTCATTGCATGATTAGACGTGTGATCTAAAGTCAATGCTCACAACCGTAGTCAGATAGTAAATTTTAGGCTTATGTGAAGCATTATATTAATTAGTCTATAAAGGAAACATTTTGGTTAATTAGTGAAAGATATCGTCAGTAGGAAATAATTCTAAAGGCAAAAGTTAGAGATATTTAAGGATCTTGTTTCAAGTTTTTGTGGTCTCTAAGCGTTCATTTGCTTGTTATTAGTTAACAAGATATATAATAAAAGATATATAAAAAAAGATATATAATTTGATGAATTAATCAATAAAAACATGTTGACAGCGATGATGAGGACCAAGCATGAGGCAGTGATGATGCCTGCTCATGTATGAGCCTGGAACTCTGGGGCGAACGTGAAAATTAATTAGTCTGTTTTTCCTTTTGGAATTCCTTCGGTGAAGGAATGTCTGGAATGTACAAAGATCATATTCTCATATAGTTATTTTGTGGGCATAGATTTGTCGTTAGTAACGGAATAATGGCGGGACTATTGAAAAGCAACTATGTAAGGACCAAGAAGAGGGTGAAGCCTTGTCTACCTATTAAAGTTTGTGGTGAGGCAGGAGATGTTTGTAGTCACCACTGAAAACAGTGATGCCCGTTAAGAGATACATAGACAAAGGTCCCACCTCTTTGAGGCCACATATCCTCTGATAAGGAAGAGTGAATTTTATTCTTTTTGGTAGTGAAATTGAGTGTTTCCTTGTGTAAGATAAGAATATATACATATTGAAAAAAACAAATGCTGAATATATGAAATGTGGAGCGCAAGGATCAATGGCAGTTTGGTCTCAATTTTTTCTGTCACTTGCTCTGCTTTGTGGTCCTCAGAATGGATATCCCCGAGCTGATTAGAGCATCTTCCATGGCCATGATCTCCTGGTTGCCTCTAACGTGAGTAATAGTTAAAATTCTTTTTTCATTTCCCGGTGTTTTTGTAAAGGTAATTCACTTTATTGTTAAGATGTATGAAAGACAATTTAAAACGGCAGCTGTATCTCAGTGATAAATATGGAATATATGAAACATTGATTAATCCATGTGTAGAAAACTGAGGGTAATCAATAAGAGATGCATTGATGTGGGTTAGGGGATACAGAGCCTCTCCTATCGTATTGGTTATCATAGCATTTAGAAACTACTAATGAGGTCATGTTTTGATCAATCAATAAACAGAAATGGATGAAGAAAAAGAGGGACGACATTGGATCGATGATGACCACTGGTGGCGTATGAGCCTTATGCGATGAATACCTGTCTGGAGGAACTCTGAGGTCCAACACAAGAGATGTGGTCCTTCTCTTCATGCATTTTCATTGTTTGCATTGGATGATCGAAATGCAATTACAATTACAATTGGATGATCAAAACATCAGTGTGGAAATACATATTTCAAAAAGCTGAATTGTAGGAGCCTTGTTCAATTTAAAAAATATGTGGGAGGCAAGAAATACTATTAATATATTTTGAAACACTGAGGTCCAAAGAGAAATAAATGGTACATGAATGTAAGCTCTTTGGAGAACAAATTATAACAATGTTTATGTTCTGGGTCAGTGGGAAGTTCAAAGTAGTTCGTTTTCTTAAGAGGAAAATGAAATAGACTCCAAATAATGATTGCCTAAATGCCTGCCTAAACGAAAGATGTAAATCAAGGGTAAATGGAAGAATGTCTCATTTTTCATCATCTGCTCTGCTCCGTACTCCTCAGAATGGATGCACTCAAGCTGATCGTAACATTCCTCCAAGGTCGTGAGCCCTCAGGTTGCATCTATGTTGTAGGAGCGTGGAGACCACGTGAGTAATAGAGTTCTTGTCTTGGGTTTGAGTGGCTCGTTTAAGGTTATTTACTGTATTCTTCAAAATATCCAAAAGCGTTATTGAAAAAGAAGAATAAAATATGCCAATGTTTTATATATATATATATATATATACATATATATATATATGTATATATATATACACACACACATATATATATGTACACACACATACACACATATGTGTATATATATATATATATATATATATATAAATAAAACATTAGGTTATATATATATGTATATTAGTCTCTGTAGAATATATATATATACATATACATATATACATATATATATATACACACACACACACACACACACACACACACACACATATTTCCACAGAGACTAATCTGTTTTACTAGCTGGCCTTAGTGTTACATTTATAGATTGGTCAACATAACGCTTCATATCAACCTAATGTTTATATATATAGATAGATAGATAGATAGATATAAGATTACACTGACTAATGCATAAATTTAATTTAGGATTATTAATGAAACAGGCATTTGATGTGAAAATGACTCTAGATACATATTCGGGATATCAATGCCTTCTTGGGGTTTTGTGAATCACAGTTTTAAAATTATAGTGAGTGAATTCATTAGTCCATAAACAATGGAGAAATAAAGAAGGAAGAGGGGAGGTACAGTTTTGGATCCCTGATGACTACTGGTGGCGCATGAGTCCTACATGGTGAATGCGTGTCTGCAACTCTGAAGGTCCAGCAGGAAGAGGACTTGCTTCATTCCCCTGTGGGAAATGATCCTGTAGACAGGTGTCAGGAATGTACAAGGATCTTGGTTTTGTTTTCATGTTCATGCGTTTTTGTTTCTATTTTTATAATTGGATCAATGAAATAATAAATATGAAAGTAAATCTAAAGGGGGTGAAATATTGTCCAATTATAAAAAATACGGGTTTAGGCAAGAAATGCTATTGATTTTATAGACAAATGGTTTCTATAGAAGGAGGCCGAGGTCAATACAAATCATTACAAAGATCCTACTTCGGGATTGATTTCATAGATGTAGATATGTTATTAATGGAATAATGATAGAAGTATTAAGTAAGTATAAATAAAAATTAAAGAAAAATAGGGTGAAACCTTGCCTAACTGGACATATGTGGTCAGGTAAAAAATATTAATAAACCCGCAAACATTGATGCCCATGAAAAATAAGTAGATCATGGTGTATCACCTCTTTGTTTCAGAATCCTATAGGCATTGATTTGTAAGAGTCAGTTGTGTTGTTCTGGGTCAGTCTTAAGGTTAAGTTTTCATTATGTTGGGATAGATATATGATACATAATAAAATATAGATCTTATATATAAAACAATAAAATACATTGTCAGTCTCAAGGTTAAGTTTTCATTATGTTAGGTCAGATATATAATATATGATATACGATATATGGTACATAATAAAATATAGATCTTATATATAAAAATAAAATGTATTTAGTTTTTATAAATATATAAATACATAAAACACAAAATATGTAAAAATATATTTTATTTTTTCATATATTTTATTTTATGTATTTATATATTTATATTATACTTTATATATGTAACATATATAACCATATTGAAAATATTTTTAACCATATTTGAAAATATTTAACAATTTATGCATTCTATATATTTATATAGTTATGTGTGTTATTATTTATATACATCTTAGTATATATTTATGTATACTATAGAAAATTTTGTTTACATTTAAAAAATATATTTTATTCATTTACTTATTTATTTTTAAATGTTGATTTTGTTTTAATTTTTTTTTATATATGAAATTTATTGTCAAATTGGTTTCCATACAACACCCAGTGCTCATCCCAAAAGGTGCCCTCCTCAATACCCATCACCCACCCTCTCCTCCCTCCCACCCCCCATCAACCCTCAGTTTGCTCTCAGTTCTCAACAGTCTCTTATGCTTTGGCTCTCTCCCACTCTAACCTCTTTTTTTTCCTTCCCCTCCCCCATGGGTTCCTGTTAAGTTTCTCAGGATCCACATAAGAGTGAAACCATATGGTATCTGTCTTTCTCTGTATGGCTTATTTCACTTAGCATCACACTCTCCAGTTCCATCCACGTTGCTACAAAAGGCCAGATTTCATTTTTTCTCATTGCCACGTAGTATTCCATAGTGTATATAAACCACAATTTCTTTATCCATTCATCAGTTGATGGACATTTAGGCTCTTTCCATAATTTGGCTATTGTTGAGAGTGCTGCTATGAACATTGGCGTACAAGTGCCCCTATGCATCAGTACTCCTGTGTCCCTTGGATAAATTCCTAGCAGTGATATTGCTGGGTCATAGGGTAGGTCTATTTTTAATTTTCTGAGGAACCTCCACACTGCTTTCCAGAGCGGCTGCACCAATTTGCATTCCCACCAACAGTGCAAGAGGGTTCCCGTTTCTCCACATCCTCTCCAGCATCTATAGTCTCCTGATTTGTTCATTTTGGCCACTCGGACTGGCATGAGGTGATACCTGAGTGTGGTTTTGATTTGTATTTCCCTGATAAGGAGCGACGCTGAACATCTTTTCATGTGCCTGTTGGCCATCCGGATGTCTTCTTTAGAGAAGTGTCTATTCATGTTTTCTGCCCATTTCTTCACTGGGTTATTTGCTTTTCGGGTGTGGAGTTTGGTGAGCTCTTTATAGATTTTGGATACTAGCCCTTTGTCCGATATGTCATTTGCAAATATCTTTTCCCATTCCGTTGGTTGCCTTTTAGTTTTGTTGGTTGTTTCCTTTGCTGTGCAGAAGCTTTTTATCTTCATAAGGTCCCAGTAATTCACTTTTGCTTTTAATTCCCTTGCCTTTGGGGATGTGTTGAGTAACAGATTGGTACGGCTGAGGTCAGAGAGGTCTTTTCCTGCTTTCTCCTCTAAGGTTTTGATGGTTTCCTGTCTCACATTCAGGTCCTTTATCCATTTTGAGTTTATTTTTGTGAACGGTGTGAGAAAGTTGCTCTAGTTTCAACCTTCTGCATGTTGCTGTCCAGTTCTCCCAGCACCATTTGTTAAAGAGACTGTCTTTTTTCCATTGGATGTTCTTTCCTGCTTTGTCAAAGATGAGTTGGCCATACGTTTGTGGGTCTAGTTCTGGGGTTTCTATTCTATTCCATTGGTCTATGTATCTGTTTTTGTGCCATAAATGTTGATTTTTGAGAGAGAGAGCACACTTGTGTGGATGCGTGTGTGCGTGTGGGCACACACCTGCGTGCGCGTGCACACACACACACACACACACACACACACACAAGCGGAGGAAGGGCAGGGAGAGAGGGAGACACAGAATCCGAAGCAGGCTCCAGGCTCTGAGCTGTCAGCACAGAGCCCGACATGGCGCTTGAACTCACGAACTGTGAGATCATGACCTGAGCTGAAGTTGGATGCTTAACCAATTGAGCCACCCAGGAGCCCCTAAAATATATATTTTATATATAATGATAAAAATTAAATATCTAAATCCTGAGTCTAGGAAATTAATAGCAAGTATCAATGGCAGTTCAATCTCAATTTTTTTCATCACTTGCTCTGTTCTGTTCTCAGAATGGGTGCATTTGGGCTAATTTCATATCTTCATGGGCACAAGCTCTGTGGTTGCCTCTGTATAGTTGGGGGATGCAGAGTCATGTGAGTTCCAGTTGAAGTTCTTTTCTTGGTTACGTGGGTTTTTTTTTCAAAGGTAATTCACTGTCCTGTTTAAAAGGACAAAGTATAATTAAAGAAGGCACTGTGTTTCAGTGATAAGTACGGGCTATATGAAAATTATATTAATTAACCCACCTGTGGAAAACTGAGGATAATTAATGAAAGAGATACACTGATATGGGAATAATCTATGTACCGATTAGGAATATAATAATTCTCTTTGGGGTTTCGTGAATCACAGTGTTTAGAAATTGTTAGTAGTGAATGAATAATTTAATCATTAGACAAATAGAAATGATTGAAGGCAAAGAGGGAGAATATTGGATCGATGATGACCACTGGTGGCATATGAGTCGTTCATGATAAATGCGTGTCTGGAACTCTGAGGTCCAACAGAAGAAATTTAGTCCATTCCCGTATTTTGAAGGGGTCCTCTAGACACATGTCAGGAATATACAAGGATCTCATTTTTGGTCTTATATTTCATGCATTTTCATGCTATTATTATAATTGGATAAATGAGAGCATCTATAAATAGATCTATCAATTAATATGAATGGAGTGATGCATTGTCCAATTATAAAAATATGTGATTATGCAAGAAATACTATTAATGCACTGTGAAAACCCTGGGGCTCATTTGAAGTAAATGGTACATGACCTTTCCTGGAATGACTAATGATGCCATAGATAGCAGAAGTCATAGACAATGTTCAGATTCTGGGTCAGTGGTAAAATCACACTTGTTTGTTTTCTGAAGAGAAAAAAGTATTTATACCAAATTAATGCTGGCCTAAGTGCTTTACTAAATGAAAAGTGAAAAGCAACAATCACTGGAGAGAATGTCTCACACGTTTTTATCATCTGCCCTGCCCCGTACTCCTCAGAACAGACACATTGCGCCAGATTTAAGGATTCTTCCCTGATCACGAGCTCTCTCTAGGGTTGCAGCTCTGTTACAGGAGTCTGGAGACCAACGTGAGTCATCATCAAAGTTCTTATCTTTGTTCCTCGGTTTTGTTTGAGGATATTCACTGTATTGGTAAAAGGTATGAAATATAATCAAAGCATGTGAACTGTATCCTGGTAACGATTACGGGATTAGTATGAAGTATTACTTTGATTAATACATACGTGAGAGGCTGATGGTAGTTAATGACAGAGATCTTTTGTTGTGAGAATGATTCTAGTCCCATAAGAGGGATAGCAAGGCCTTGTTTTTAATACTACAGTTTCAAAATTATAACTAGTGAATTACTGAATTAATCAATAAACAATATAGAACTAAATGGAGAGACAGTGGTGCTCCTTGGATCAGTGATGATAACTGCCAGGGTAGGAGTCATGCGTGATGAAGGATGTGTGTGTGGAACCCCGAGGTCCAACAGAAAAGAAATGTGAGTTTTTTCCATGCAAAGAGTTCCTCACTTTATTGTTATCTGCTCTGATCTGTACTCCTCAGAATGGACCCACTTGAGCCGATGTAAGCCTCTTCCGAGGCATGCGGTCTCCAGTTGCATCTATGTTGTTAGGAACATTGGAGACCAGTGTGAGTAATGTCAATGCTTGAGCTTAGGTGGTTTCTTTAAGGGTATTCCCTGTGTTATTCCAAATATTAAATACAGTCAAAGAAGGCAAAATACACCAGTGTTAAATACCAGATTGATACGGCACATTGAGTTGATGAATCCATTAATGTAAATCTTGAGGTTAGCTTTTGAAACAAAGAGTTAGTCTCTGGAAAAGTTTGGAGAGATAAAGGCTGTTAAGGGATCTTGTATTTATGTGTTTTTAATTCTGTCTATGAATTTTGTGAAGCCATAAGCAAATGTTTATGAGAATAACAAGAAAGAGGCCTAATCATGAACAGTGATGGTGAATGGTGGTGGATGAGCCACACATTCACTGGACAATGAATACTACGTGTCTGGATTCTGAGGTCCAGTATAATACGTAGTGTATTCTGTTTATTTAATCCTATAGACAGATGTTAGGTTTATGTCCAATATAGGAACTTGGCTGATAGCCGTTGATTTATTATTGTTAATGGACAAATTGTAGGACTATGAAAGAAATACAAAGAATAAATAAGAGAGGGTGAAGCATTGTTCAACTATGAACATATATGTGGGCAGGCATGAGATATTATTAACACAACTGAAAACACTGAAACTCATTAAGGAATAGATGGATTAGGAGTGTCACCTGTTTGACCAAGGATCATGTTAGCACAGGTAGTTAAGAGTCAGTTTTTTGTTGTGGATCTATTTCAAGTTTGCTGCTGTTTATTTTGTTAAGATGAAAGTATTTACACAAGGAATCATTATAAATTCCTAAGTGAATGGGTAAAAAAATGTGGAAATATAGGATCAATGGGAATAAAAATGTAACTTTTTTTTTTTTAATCAGTTATGCTTTGTTCTTCTCAGAACGGACACACTTGACCTGATTCAAGTAGCACGACCCGGTGGCAGAGGGACCGATGTGCGTAAGAGTCGGGAGTTCTTGTCTGGCTTTCAGTGAGTTTTTTTTTTTTTTTTTTTTGCAGGGTGTTCACTGTGTTTTTGAAAAGTGCCATATTGAATAAAGATGGTCAGCTGTAGCCCTGCGTATAAACGTTGAAATGATATGAAATGTAAAAACATAGGATATTTAAAGAAAGCGATATATAGATATGGAAAAATTTCTATGTACAGAATAGGGACTTCAGGGCTGTCTTTGGTGATAACTGGGTTTCAAAATAATTAGTGAATTAATGAATTAGCCAAGAAACACTGTAGAAATGAATGAATAGGGACAACACTGGATCAATAATGACCCCTGATGGCATATGAGTCATCCATGATGAATATGTGTCTGGAACTCTGAGGTCCCACACGGATGGATTCTGGTCCATTGCCCCTGTTTCGAGGGATCCTATAGACACATGTCAGGAATACACAAGCAACTTCTTTTGGCCTTTACATTCATGCACTTCTATTTTTATAATTAGTTCAGTTAAATCATCAATAAGCATATATATAAATAAAGATGAAGGTAATGGAACTTTGTCCAATTAATAAAATGTGTGGCTTGGCAAGAAATGCTATTACTACATATTGAAAACAAAGATCTATTATGAAAGGTACATACACATCTATTTTGTGACAATTAGATATTTGTAAGTAAGAGTTTCCTGTCAGGGGCAAGATCAATATTGTTCATTCACTTCAGAAAAAATATAAAACATACATTATCCCAAATCACTACCTGCCTCCATGACTGAATGAAAGATGGACACGGGGATGAATGAACACAAGGTCTCCATCTTTTATCATCATCTGCTTTGTCTTGTCCACCTTAGAATGGTCCCACTCGGCTGATTTAGACATTCCTCCGTAGTCACGAGCCCTGTGGATGCATCTGTGTGTGAAGAGCACAGAACAAAACGTGAGCAATCATCAGAATTCTTTTCTTGGTTTTGTGGTTTAAAAAAAATGTCTTCGCATTATTAAAAAGTATGAAATATGATCAGTAATTTCCAAACATGTTAAAAAGAAAAATGATATTAATAGGAAGCAGTATATTAACTCGGAAATTTTGAGGGCATTGAGGAAATATATGTCTGCGTGAAGCAATTCTATACACAGAGATATTCAAGGGTCTAGTTTCAAATTTTTGACCTCCTAGGTACTCATTATTATTATTATTATTATTTCAATGTTTAGTTTATTTTTGAGAGAGAGAGAGAGACAGAGCACGAGCAGGGGAGGGGCAGAGAGAGAGGGAGACACAGAATCCGAAGCAGGCTCCAGGCTGTGAGCCGTTGGCAAAGAGCCTGATGTGGGGCTCAAACCCACGAGCCGTGAGATCATGACCTGAGCTGAAGTCGGAAGCTCAACCGACTGAGCCACCCAGGCGCCCCCTTATTTTATTATTAATAGTGAATTGAATTAATAAAAACACATAGACATGATTGAAGATAATCAGGGATATACCTGGATAAATGATAACAAGTGGAGGCATAGGAGTCTTGGATGAGGAACCCTCCATGTCTGGAACTCTGAGGTCCAGCACAGAAGAAATCTAGTCCTTTCTCCCCATTTGAAGTGACCCTCTAGAGAGATGTCAGGCATATGCGAGGATCATGTTCCTGGCCTTTGTGTACATGAATATTTAAAAGTATTATTATAGGGGCGCCTGGGTGGCTCGGTCGGTTAAGTGTCCGACTTCAGCTCAGGTCATGATCTCACGGTCCGTGAGTTCGAGCCCCGCGTCGGGCTCTGTGCTGACAGCTCAGAGCCTGGAGCCTGTTTCAGATTCTGTGTTTCCCTCTCTCTCTGCCCCTCCCCTGTTCATGCTCTGTCTCTCTCTCTCTGTCTCAAAAATAAATAAATGTTAAAAAAAATTAAAAAAAAATAAAAGTATTATTATAAAAAATAAATGGTGGAAACATAGAGACCAAACTGGTGGTTGCCAGAGGGGAGGGGGCTAAGGGAAGGGGTTGAGGGGAAAGGGGAGAGGGAGGTACAGGCCTCCAGTTATGGAATGAATAAGTCCCAGGAGGTACAGTGTAGGGAACACAGGCAATGTACACAGTATTGTAATAGCATTGGATGGTGAGTGGTGGTATCTCCCATTGTGGTGAGCACAGTGTTACATATATAGGGTTGTAGAGAGTTATCGAAACACTATGTTGTACACCTGAAACTAAAGTAACATTGCGTGTCAACTGTACTTCAGTAGAAAAAAAAATCGGTAGTAGGATAAATAAAAATGTAAATGAGCAAATATAAAGAGGGTTGAATACGATTTACGGTTAAGATATATAATAAGGAAATATAATTGGAATGGAAAATAAAATGATCAAATATGTATATGTCTTGAGCGAGAATGACAAGACAGTGTTAATAGTTAGAGTCAGTTAGAACTTTGAGATTGAATTTATTAAGAGAAAAATAAATATTACCACAAATTAATACATGCCCAAGTGACTATGCAAGCAAATAGTGGAACCTATGAATCAATGGAGAGAAAGTCTCGACATTTTAATCTGCTTGGACTGGATGCTGGAAGCGATTTCAGCATCTGCAGTCATCAAAACAGTCACGGTGCCTCTGTGTAAGGAAAGAGACCAAAGTGAGTAATGGCCAACGTTGTCATCTTGGATTTGGTCATTGGTTTAAGGGTATTTATGGTATTATTGACAATTATTAAATTAATTTAAAGGTTTATGATGACCTATGATAAATATGATATAAAACATTATGTTGATTTATAACGTACAGGAATGAGGTCTATTAATGAAAGAAGTATAGTCTGTGGGAAATGATTCTGTAAACTGATGGTAGGGATATTCAAGAATCTGTTCTTGTGTTTTTATGACATGCATTATTTTTATTATCATAAACAAATTCATAATTTAATTGATACAAATGTAGACATGAACGAAGAAAAATAGACTCAGTGAGGATGGCTGGAAGCATAGGAGTCCAGGATGATGAAAATATGTGTCTGGAACCCTGAGGTCTCATGTGGGACATAATCACTCTCCTTCTTCTGCTGAAATTGGCTCTATGAAGAGATGTCAGGAATACACAAAGATTGTATTCTTGTACTGATTTCATAGACTTAGATTCGTTATTATTAATGGAATAATGATAGAACTATTAAAGAAATGTAAGTGGAGAAAGTAAAGCCCGGTCCCGTTATGAATATTGTGGTGAGACAAAAGGTATCAATAATTTTAAAACCATTGATAATCATTAAGAAATTAATGGACCAAATGGCTAAAGATCATATAGACACTGATGAGGAAGAGTGAATTTTGGTTTTCTGGGTCAATATTTAGATTGAGTTTTTCCTCTGTAAAGATAAAAATACACATTAAGAAGAAGTAATAAATACCTAATTAATAAAACTCAGAAAGCAAGGATCAATGGTGATTACGTCTCATTTTTTTTTTTTTTGTACCATTACTCTGTTCTGTATTCCTCAGAACGATGCACTTGAGCTGAGTTAGCATCTTCCATGGTCAAGAGCTCTATGGTTGCCTCTCTATAGTAGGACAGAAATTAATGTGAGTAACTGTTGAGGTTATTTTCTTGCTTCCAGTATTCTACTTTAAGGTTATTTGTATAAAGGTGCAAAGAATTTTTAAAGAACGCAAGTATACAATTGCGTAAGTATGGGATACAGTTACAGTAATAAATATGGGATATAGTTAACATTATTTTGATTGATGTATATAAGAAAAACAGGCAATAATGAGAAATATGGATGTGAGAATAGTTCTATATATAGACTACGGACACAAAGACTCTTCTTGGGTTTTTATGAATGATAGCATTTAAAATTGTTATTAGTGGGGGCGCCTGGGTGGCGCAGTCGGTTAAGCATCCGACTTCAGCCAGGTCACGATCTCGCCGTCCGTGGGTTCGAGCCCCGCATCGGGCTCTGGGCTGATGGCTCAGAGCCTGGAGCCTGTTTCCGATTCTGTGTCTCCCTCTCTCTCTGCCCCTCCCCCGTTCATGCTCTGTCTCTCTCTGTCCCAAAAATAAATAAACGTTGAAAAAAAAAATTTAAAAAAAATTGTTATTAGTGAAATAATTCTATAATCAATAAACCCATAGAAATGAATGAAGAAAATAAGGGACAATATTGGATCGATGATGACCAGTGATGGCGTATGAGTCATATATGATGAATACGTGTCTGGAACTCTGAGGTCCCATATGAAAGAAATCTAGTTCAGTACCTCTATTTGAATCGACCCTTCAAACTGGACATAAGGAATGTGCAAAGAAAAATCGCATCATTATGATTTGGAATTGACAGCAAATGGACCATTTTGTCAAGTGTGTTTTGTCTCTGATGCAAAGGTGGTAATAGACCATTATAAGTTACAGTCAGTCGTTGTGCGAGTCACCTTCACATTTGACATTTGATGTATTAAGAAGAAATATATTAACATAGTAAATACCTGAACGACGACATAAATGAATGGTATAACCTATGAATCAATGGGTAAACATCTTGATTTTTTGTCATCTGCTCTGCTCTTTGCTCTCAGAATGGACACCCTTGAGCTGATTTAAGGATTAACCCACAGTCATCATGTTTATGTTGGCATCTCCCTGTTAGGAGCATGGAGATCAATGTGAGTAAGAGTCAAAATTCTTCTCTTGGTTTAAGCGGTACAGAGAAGGCCAACCATGCCAATGTGCAGTATTGGATTGATATGAAACATTAAAATGATCAATCCCTAAAGAAACAAACACTAAGTTCAGTTAATCAAAAGGATTTAGTCTATTTATATAGGATATTATTGATAAATGTTAGGGATATTGAAGGATCTTCTTTTTTGGTGTGATTTACGCATATTTCTTTATTAATGAATTAGTCAATAAAGAAGCATAGATGAGAGTGGACAGAAAGACAGCCAATCATGGACCAGTGATGATGACCTGCTGGTGTATGACTCATGGATGATGAATAATGAGTGTGGAACACTGAGGGCCAACCCGAAAGGAACCTAGTCTATTCCCCATATTTCCAGTCATACTATAGGCAGAGGTCTAGAGGCAGGGCTATAATCTTTTTCTTGGTCTTTGTGTTCATGAATTATAAAACTGTACGAAAGAATCAATGGCAGCATAAATTAGCAAATGTATAAATGAATAAAGGTGAAGAGGATGAAGCATTGTTCACTACTAAAATATATAGTCAGGGAAATGAATATTAATATTCACTGGAATGGATAATAAATGGGCCAAGTGTATTACATATTTGAGTAATTGTGACATGGATGGTGATAGGTAGTAGTTGGTATCACCCTGAGTCAGTTGTGAGTTTGAGGTTTGTTGTATTGAGAGGAAAATAAATATTACCACAAATTAATAAACGCTTAAATGACTAAGGACATGAAAGATGAAAATTGTGGGTCGGTGGGGACAGTGTCTCATTTTGTAAAAATCATTGTGTCTTCTTGGTACTCTTCAGAATGGATGCACTGATCTGATTTTAGCTTCTGCCGTGCTTAAAATTGTGTTGTCTCTGTCAGGAGAGAGAACAAAGCGAGTAGTAGTCAAAGATCTTAGCTTGGTTTTAATCATTTGTTTAAGAGTGTTTCCGGCATTGTTAAAAAGCATTAAACATCATAAAAAAGTTATCCAAGGCACAATAATAGATTTAATAGGAAACATTCTTACTGTTGATTAATCAAAGAGATGGAAAAAATATGGTGTATATGGGAAAGGATTCTATAGAACAGCATTAAGGATATTCAAGGATCTCGTGCTCATGTTTTCTTGAATAATGTCTCTGAATTAATGATTTAATTGAGGACAAATGTAAAACAAATGAAGCGAGTGAGGATCTAGAATGGCCCAGTAATGATGACTGGTGGTGTACCTAGTCTGTTTCCTGTTTGAAATGATCCATTGGACAGATGTCAAGAATATACAGATACCAGGTTCTTATTTTAGATTCACAAATTTCGATTTACTATTACTATTGAATCAATGATAGAACCATTAAACAAATATAAATATATAAGTAAAGAAGAGGATGAAGTGATTTTCCATTATAAACATATGTAATGAGGCAAAAAATATTATTAATAAAAATTGAAAACACTGATGTTCATAAAGAAATAGATGGATTAAGAACGTTGTCTCTCATTTAAGATCATGTTGGGGCGCCTGGGTGCCTCAGTCGGTTGAGCAACCGACTTCGGCTCAGGTCATGATCTCACGGTTTGTGAGTTTGAGCCCCGCGTCGGGCCCTGTGCTGACAGCTCAGAGCCTGGAGCCTGCTTCGGATTCTGTATCTCCCTCTTTCTCTGCCCCTCCCCCACTCATGCTTTGTCTCTGTCTCAGAAATAAATCAACATAAAAAATAATTAAAAAAAAAAAGATCACGTAGACACTGTTTAGTAGGAGTCAATTTTCTTGTTCTCGATCATATCCAAGGTAGAGATGATTCCTCTTAAGAGAAAAAACATATTTATGAAAAATTAATAAATGTATCAGTGAGTAACTGAAATGCAGAACTCAAGGGTCAGTAGAGATAAGATCTGTTTTGTTTTTTGTTCTTTTGTTGTTAACTAATCACCTGTTCTGCCCTGTACTCCTTAGAATGGACACACCTGAGCTGATTTAACATCTTTCATGGTCACGAGCTCTGTGGTTGCATATGTGTGTTAGGAGCATGGACACCAGTGTGAGTAATAGTCAAAGTTTCTTGGTTTGGGTGGTCTGTTTAAGAGTAGTCACCATATTATTAAGAAAACTGTATAGTAGACTGTAGAGTAGTCATAAGTGTGATATTGAGGTGGTGCCTTATATTGATTATTGCACGTACATAAAACTGAGGTTAATTACTGAAAGAGATTGATGTAAGAATGATTTTCTATACAGATTGGGGACATAAAAACTCTTCTTGGGTTTTTGTGAATCGTAATGATTAGAAACTATTATTAGTGAAGTAATGAATAGTGAATAAATAGAAATAAATGAAGAAAAAGAGGGGCACTACTGGATCGATGATGACCACTGGTGGCGTATGAGTCATATGTGATGAATACGTGTCTGGAACTCTGAGGTCCAATAGAAGAGAAATCTAGTCCGTTCCTTTTGTTGAAAAGGATTCTACACGCAGATGTCAGGAATACACAAAGATTTTTTTGGGGGGGGGGGTCTCTGTGCTCATGATTTTTCATTCCATTATTTTAATTGGATAAGTGAGTTGAAAGAAAAAAAGAGAGAAAGAAAGAAAGAAGTAAAGAAAGATAAATGAAGTGAAGCAGTGTCTAATTATAAAAATACGTGATCAAACAAGAAATGCTTATTAATATATCTTGAAAACCCTGAAGTCCAATGAGAAATGAGGTGCCTATGACTGTTACGTCTTGGGTTAGAGATAATATAGACAGCATAAGTTATAGACAATGTTTATGTTCTGGGTCTGTGGAGAGCTCAAAAGTGGTTTCTTAAGAGAAAATGAAAGAAATACACTTTGAATTAATGATCGCATAAATGACCGTCTGAACTAAAGATGAAAAGCAAGCATCAATGGAGAGAAGGTATAATTTTTGTATCACCTGTTCTGATCTGTACTCCTCAGAATGGACTCGCTTGAACTGCTGTAAGCATCTTCCATGGTCCTGAGCTCCTGGTTGCATCTATTTATTAGGAGCATAGAGACCAGTGTGAGTAATAAAGTTCTTGTCTTGGTTTGGGTTTTTTGTTTGTTTGTTTGTTTGTTTGTTTAAGAGTGTTCACTGTGTAACAAAGTTGGAAATAAAATCAGATAAGGCCACCTGTAGCCTAGTGATAAACCCAGGATAGATGGGAAGCATTGTATCGATGGATGCATATATGAAAAACTGAAGATATTAATGAAAGACATTTACTGATATATGAGAATGATTCTATATACAGATTAAGGATACTAGAGCTCTTTCTCAGTGTTTTGTGAGTCATGGTGTTTAAAAGTACAATTAGTGAGTTAAGGAATTAATCAATAATTATTGTAGAAATGAAAGAAGAGGACGTGGGCTAATCTTGGATCAATGATGACGACCAGTGGCATATGAGTCATATACCATGAATATTACGTGTCTGGAACTCTGAGGTCCAACACAAAAGAAATATGGTCCATTTTCTCTTTTTGAAATAATTCTATAAACAGATGTCAGGAGTATGCAAGGATTTTGTCTTGATCTTTGTGTTCATGCATTTTCAAACTATTATTATAACTGGACCAAAAGAAAACACATAAAAAATGTATACAGATGAACAAGGTTAAGCATTATCCAGTTATAAAAAAATATATGGTAAGGCAAGAAATATTGTTGATATATATTGAAAACACTCATATTCACTAGGAAATAAATGGCATAAGGGTGTTACATTTTAGGGATGGTACGGGTGGTGTTACTGATAGTCAGTGCTCTGTGTCAGTGACAAGACTGATATTGTTTACTTAAGTGAAGGTAAAATGTTATCCCAAATAACTGCCCAAGTGATTGACTAAATAAAAATTCAAGAACCAATGCAGATAATGTCTCAACCTATTTTATTACCGCCCCTGCTCTGCACTCCTTAGAATGAAGACCCTCAAGCTGACGTAACCATCTTCCACGGCCATGAACTCCATAGTTACATCTCTGCATTAGGAGCATGGAGATCAATGTAAGTCGTAGTCAAGGTTGTTGTCTTGGTTTCAGTCTTTTTTTTGAAGGCATTCAGGCATTCGCTGTATCATTTTAAAAATACGAAGTATAATTTTGGAAGATTAACCATGACCCCGTTATAAGTAGGGGGTTGATATGAAGTATTGTTTTGGTTAATCCTTATATGCAACACTGAAATAAACCAATGAAAGAGATGTATTTCCGTGAGTAATAATTCTATAGACAGATATTTAAGGATCGTACTGTCATATTTTATGACTTCAGGTATTTATTATTATTAGTGGCTTGATGAATTAATAAAATTCATGTAGACCCAAATTACAATGAGGGCCAAGTCTGGATCAATGATGACTACTGGTGGCGGTATGAGTCATGGATGATGACTATTCCATGTCTGGAACTCTGAGGTCCAACACTAATACAACAGAAATCTAGTTTATGCTATTCTATACTATGTGAGAGATACGTAAGAATCTTTTGCTTCTAATTTTATGGCTCATGGATTATGATTGTATCAATATAAAAGAATCAATGGAGGGCTCAATCAAGATGTTTAAATGATTAACCATGAAAGAGTGAGGCGTATTCCAAAGTATGAGAAGACGTAGTAAGGAAAGCAATACTATTAATATAGCCTGGAATGGATAATAAAGAGACAAGTAAGCAAAAACACCGTAAATGAGTAAATATGAAACGCCTGAGGGAATGAAAGCAGAATACAAAGGACCAATGGATAGAAGATCTCAAACTTGATTTTCCACTTGCTCTTATACTCCTCAGAATGGGCACGGCCATGCCAATTTTGGCGTTCTGTCATGGCCCCGAACTCAGTGGTGTCTTTGGAGAACGGAGACCCTTGTGTGTGAGTAGCAGTCGAACTTTTTGTCTTGGTTTGGGCAATTTTTAAGAGTGGTCAATGCATTTTTAAGAAGTAGGAAATAGAATCAAAGGCCAAACATGACCCAGTAATAAACACGGGACTGGTACAAAACATTATGTTGAGATGTCCATATGTGAAACACAGAGACCGATTTCAGAAACAGATCTAACATCTGTGGGAAACGATTTCATAGATAGCTATTACGGATATCGAGGCTCTTATTCTGGGTGTTTTGGATTCACGTATATTTCTTCATGAGTAAGTAGTGAATTAATGAATAAGTCAATTGACAAAATATAAAGGAAAAGAATTCACAAGCTTGGGCCATTGATGGTGCCTGGTGGTGTAAGAGTCAAGGATGACGAATGATACATGTCTGGACCCCTGTATGGAAGGTGTTGAATCAATACATTGTACACCTGAAACTAATATTACACTGTATGTTAATTAATCGGAATTGAAATAAAAACTTAAAAAATAAAATAGTTCATATTCATTTCCCCCTTTTTTTCCATCTACTTTCTACTTTACGGAATGGATACACGTAAGCCGATAATCATTCTGTAATGATCAGGACCTTGATGCTTCAATGTGAGTAATACTCCAAATTCTTGTTTTTGTCTATACAAACAACGGGGGTTGTCTGTATAGGGTATTCAGAGTTGTCTGCGTGATTGAAAAGTATGGAATATAACTTGTGGGGATGAGCCCTGGGTGTTATATGTAGGGGATGATCTCTGGAATTTACTCCTGAAATCATTTTTGCCCTATACGCTAACTAACATGGATGTAAGTAAGTAAGTAAATAAATAAATAAATAAATAAATAAATAGTATGGAATATAATCAAAGAAAGCCACATGAGGACCAGCGATGAGACTGGGTCACAAACCAAGGTTCATGATATATCTGATTTAGCACAACACATCCTTTTAAAAAAGGAGTTCTAATCTTTTAGCTCTGAAGCTATGGGACCCAGAGTAAACTGCCTGCCACTCCTAGTTCTTTTTCTTTTTTTAGTTTACTTATTTATTTTGAGAGAGCAAGAGAGAGAGAGTCAGAGAGACAGAATCCCAAACAGGCTCTGCACTGACAGGACATGGGGTTTGAACTCACAAACCGTGAGATCATGACCTGAGCAGAATATCAAGAGTCGGACGCTTAACCAACTGAGCCACCCAGGCGGCCCAAAATAAATGTAAATAACTTCTAGAAAGTCGTGCGTAGGCCAGTAATGTGAATATGTTATGAACCACAGTTTGGATAATTAATCCAAATTAGCGCAAATGAAGGACAAGTAAAGAACTTTGCTTTTTTCATTCATTTCAAAACTCAAAGTCTCATTTTATGTTTGTTCCACTGATTTTTTTTTTATTTATTTAGTCCCACTGATGATTTAAACATTTCCCTCTTGATAAAAAGATCTAGGCTGATACTCATTTCGAGAGTCGATATTCTAGTTGTTGAGCAGGATGGTGGGTTCATGGTTGGCCTCTGTAACACCTAACAATGGTTCAGCATAATCTCTAAAAGTTAAATGCTGAAGGATTGCACCTACATCAATGATGTGAATGGAATGCATCTGAATAAAAATTATGATCAATCATTTTTTGAACCACTGAGGTCCAGCACTCACAAAGCGAACTAGTGTAGGACTTTTGGGGAGTGGTCTCAGGAAAGGTCAAGAATCTAGTTGAGAAAGGTTCATGGATTTGACTTTATATTATTAGTGAATAAATGAATGTATCAATAAGCAAATATACTCAAAGGTAAAGAAAATTAGGTCAAAACATGGACCAATTTAGAGGATATGCTATAAAACGGGAAATATTCTGTATTCAGTTCTGAAATACTTTGGTCAAGTAAGAAAAAAAAAAAACCATAGATTAAGGTTGTTACCACTTTGTGTAAGAAGCCGCTAGGTAGAGGGAGTTTATGAGTCGATGTTCTGCTGTCTATTTGCAGTGGGTTTCTATGTGTTTGTTTCGTGAAGGAAAAAAAAAGTTGAAATTAAAGAAATGGCTAACTGAATGAGTGAGTGCCAAGAATGAACCAATGATGACTATATTTTATTCTTTATTACATCTGCTTTGTGCCGAGAATGGCCACACATTGGCTCCTTTTGTCATTACACTTAATGGTGAGGATCCTGACTGTTACTGATGTGGCCAAAGAAAGCATAGATTAGGGTAAGTAGCAGATTAAGTTTTTATTCTTGGCTTGGTCATTTTGTTCACGGATGATGACATATTATTTTCAAAAAGAATAAATGGCTTCATGCAACCATAACATGAAATCAAAGAAGACCTTGTATGGACTGATGATAAGAATTTGTCCTGACAAAGTCGTGCTTTATTCATTTTGCAAAAATAAAAAAACAAAAACAAAAACAGATTTCCATTCAAAAAATAGATTGCTCCCTCTCAGCTTAAGAAGATTATAGACACATTCTAGTCATAGTCAAAGGTCTTGTCCTTGGATTGGTTGTGTTTTCCTTGTTTATTTTATTTTATTTTATTTTATTTTATTTTATTTTATTTTATTTTATTAAAATAACCCATAATTAAGCAAATTAAATGTAAATATGCTAGTGAAATTACAACGGTCACTCTTGACGAATGATGTGAGGATTCCCAACACAAAGATTTGTTTCCCTTGGGTCGGTTATTTCAGCACTCTGCTTTAGGAGCCCATAGAGAAACTTACATGTAAAAAATTCCCCCTCTTGTTTGGAAATAAATTCTGTGCTGTTGACTTTTCCTTTGAGAAGGAGTAACTGACTAAATTAATAAACAAGGAAAAATCCATATGTAAAGAAAATTAGAGTGGCAAAGCGTGTCCCAATGCTAAAATTTTATGAAGCAAGAATTAGGATCAACCGCATTTTGCTTCTCCGAGACCTATGTAATGGAAAAGATTTAATCTTCCCCTCTGTGTATAATGAGGACAGATACAGTTGTTAAAATGTTCATTGTTTTCATTCTTGTACTTTGGTGGGTCCCTGGATATTAGTGTTATTGTTGTGGCTCCTGTAGTTGTTTAGTAAATTGGTGTTTGAAAATCTGAATTGAAGGAGGCAGAATCCTGGACCAGTGATGAAAATGTGATTTGAAAGAAGGATTAAGGTCATTGCAGTTTTGCACCACTGACATCTATGAAATAAAGCATTTACCTTTTTTATCTTTGTTTTAGTAGCATGTGGTATGTGGTACTAACTCTGCCTGTTGTACTGAAATAATTGAGATATTTTTTTCTACTTCCCTAGATTATTTCTTTTCTCTATCTCACAAATACTTATCACCTCATATATGTGGAGGTGGTGGCGGGAATTTCTATTCTATTAAAAAAATTTTTTTAACACTTGTTTATTTTTGAGAGAGAGAGACAGAGAACGAGGTGGGGAGGGGCAGAGAGAGAGGGAGACACGGAATCCAAAGCAGGCTCCAGGCTCGGAGCTGTCAGCACAGAGCCTGACTCGGGGTTCGAACCCACAAACCATGAGATCATGACCTGAGCCAAAGTCGGACACCTAACCGACTGAGCCACCCAGGCGCCCCAAGAATTCCCTATTCTAGAATGTTTTGGGACTTAGTGTCTAAGACAGTGCTAAAATAACTCATGAGGTATTAATTTCAGCTCAACCTTGACCCAAATCCACGTGAGTCTGTGTGTTGGTCGTGGCATTTGTATCTGAATCCAGTCTAGTTCCAGCTGTCACGTAGCTCTTTGGGACTAGGTAAAGACAAACTTATAAATGCAACAATTCAATATAATGGGCAAGGACTTTCCAGAAGCACAGAAGGTGGGCCCTTGGCTCAATCTTAAGTATCAGATGCTTTACAAAGGGGATGACGCTTGAGCCAATGACAATCTCGCTAGGCTGTAAGCTCCGTGAAGTTAGGGGTCGTAACCCCCTTGTCCTCTGCACTGCCCACTGTGCCTAGCTCGCAGAGCACGAGTAATAGTCCTTTGTGGAATGACAAATTGCATAAATGGTGAACGACTGGATGAAGCAGTGAGTTAGTGAATGAAGGAGTCTTTGAGTAAACAAAGGAAAACATACTGATGAAAATGTTGAGTATGCACACGTTGTAACAAATTGACAATGAGTTGACACGTCCACTTAACCAAATGCATACGTGCGTACATGTATGATGAAGTAATTATCGAATCAATGAGTGGATGAGATGATGTGTAAGGAAGAATGTCAAAAGGAGAATGAGTGATGAATAAATAAGTCAGTGGGTGAATGAATGAAAGACTAGTGGCTCAAGGAGTCAACAAGTGAAAGATGGGTGCACAAATAGACGAAAGAATAGGTAAGTGAGTCCCTGAATGAGTTTGCGAATTGAGTTTCAATGAGAATTGAAAGTTAATTAGTGATGAGGGAATGAATGAACCAGCGAGTCACTGAGTTAATGAGGAGCCAAATGCATTAATTGATTAAGAAGCCAAAAACTGAGTGAGTGAAGAAATGAACAAATTGATGAAAGAAGGAAAAAGTGGGAGAATTGAACAAATTAATAGATAAATAAGTCCATGAATGAGACAAGTTAATGAGCAGACGAATAAGCCAGTGGATGGAGGGATGCATATAGTAGAGTGAGTGAATAAAGTAACGAATTAGTGAGTGAGTAAACGAGTCAATGAATGGGAGTGCAGTCCAAGAACAGCTTAACTGCTGTGAATGAATGAGCGAATAAACAAATGGGTCAGTAAATGGGTGAGTGAGTCAGTGATCCGTGTGTGAGGCAATGAGTGAATGAAGTCACACTGGGATCCCTTCCCTGACCACTCGGGAGAGAGCTAGCCACACCCCAACCTCACGCCACTTTGTAAATAGCTCCACCGGAGCACCCATTCTACTCTATCATGGGTATTTGTTTACGTGTTATCGCTAAGCCCATGTGCCCTGCGAGAGCCAGGAACCGGGTCAGATTCCACTCTGCATCCCAGTGCCTGCCCAGCCCCGAGCCTGGGAGGCGCCCAGTCAATTATTAACGAACGAATTAATGAATAACTAAAAATACATGTGCTTTTGTGGAACCAGGCTGGCCCTTCTCAGAACGGTCTGGGAACCGTCCCGCGGGGAGGTGTGCTGTGTCAGATGGCCTGCGGCGTTCTCCGACGCAGGTCCAGATTCTCCCTTGAGGCCAGCTTCTAGTGTTCGGTGCCAGACAGACAGGATACTGGCAGTTCTGACTGCCCTGGACACTGGCCCATCCTTGGGCAACGTTGGCTTGGCATGGTGGAGTGGAAGCCCTGGGTCTTCCCGAAAGTTGCCCTTGCCTCTGCCAAGACAGGAGGTCAAAAATAACCTGGTCTTGTTTTTATGCCTCCAGCAAGTGGGCCTGCTCTTTGCCTTTGCAAGGAAACCGAGTTCCTCTTGTGGTTGTTGTGGGTTAGACGTGAAGGGCCTCTGGACCTCGAGGCTCAGCTCCATGTCTTCCACAAAGATAACAATTGTTACGGGAATTAACTTGTCTAGCAAGAGCGGGTTAGAAGGCCCATACTGTGGGACCTGGGAGGGAATAAATGCTTCGAAACTTACCCGAAGTAGCTGTGATTGATGGTTTCAATTGCACTTCTTTAGAAAGTTCCCAAATGACACCCACGTAATACGAAGATTCCCCTGTCCAAGAGGAATGGCGAGTTCGACGAAGTTCTAGAACAATGCCAGTTTGGATGGGATGGGTCCAGACTATGCACCTTTAAGACAGCATAACATGCCGTTCTGCCAGGGACAGATGACGAGAAAAGTAAGTTGGCAACATCTTTGCCCTCCGTGGGTATTTGCCCAAGACCGCCCCGCCTCCACTGCCCCCTCCCTGTATTGCATCATTCCTCCCTCCTGCAATTATGTGTTATAATTTTATACCCACTCTATGGCTGACACTGACCACTCCCCCTCCTCTCCTGTCTTGCCTGTTCCTGACCCTGGATTCCATCTCTCACTCCTGGTTTCGTGTCCTTCCTTTGGACTTGGCGATGTAATGGTCATTTGGCTTGGAATATAGCCTTCTCCTTCCTGAAGACTGGATTTCAGCTCAAATCATTGGCCTTTCTCCTTCGGACTGAATCAGGTAGACCCCCTTCTCCCTTCTTAATAGTGGACATCTGGGACCCTAATTTTGAGTCTTGTGGGTTGGCTGTCTTCCATCTGGGCAACCTCCAGCCCCTCCGGGCCCCCTCAATGCTGAGGGCGGGCGGCAGGATGAGCATCAGTGGCCTTCGTCTAGAATCTAATGTGTGACTGGAAAGTGTATGGACGCAGGACGTGGGACTTAGGTTCTCACATTCCCCAGGATTGTTGGGTAAATGAGGTGCTTGGACCTCATAGCGTTCAACAGCTTCTAGTTGATTCTAATCTGTGCTTTCCGTGGTTGCTCAGCTTTGTGCCATGCCCAACGCACCTGTCACCTGCCTTGCACTCACATAGCACCTTGTCTTCCTTCCTGGCTCCTCACCTCCCGTGGTCCAGATTCGTCCTGTCGTGCTCACGTATCCACCCTCCACACCCCCGACAGAGCCCTTGTTATGGTGTTAGTTATGACCTACTGGTTTCTCCCAAAGGGAATGAACTCCTTGGTGTCAGGTAACCCACCAGAAGGTCTAGGCTTCAGTAAATGTTTGGTGAACTACTTGTCCATTCTTTCATTTATTCAGAAAAAGATTGGGCTCTTTCTGTGGCACCAGAGGTTGGGTATAAGCAGCAAGAGGCAGGCCATATCCTATCTCTGCCCTCATGGAACTTCAAGTCTTGAGTGGGAGATAGATTTCGAACAAATTTTCACTGTGGAATTACTTAATCATCCTCATGACGAGCTCTATGAAGCCCGGGTGCCGTGGGCTTTGCTGACCTGCCACCTGGGCTGGTCTGGCCCTTATGACAAGCTCCCTCTCTTTGGGGGCGACACTCTGGAAGGACAAGGCCATGGCCACGGTCAGAGCTGGCAGATGGCTGTGGGTCCCTGCGGGCAGGTCCTCGGACATCGTTGGGCGAAAGAGGGATGGGTGGACCTTGGGGTTTGTGCAGCGGCCCTTTGGTTATTACCTGGGCAGAGGCGACCAGCCAAACATTGCAGTCACTCGGGCCGCGTGCTTGTTAAAGAAGGCTCTGCTGAGGCTCAGGGTTGGAGCCACCCCGTCAACTTCCAGGTGGTTCTTCTCGATGTACTGCCAGATGACAAACTGGGGGTACACCGGAACATGTGTTGACCTTGTCTCCCTCCACCACATTCCATTCTGAGTGTCTTCAAATGGCTGCCCGAGAAACCACCGTGGGGGTAGCATCATTGTGATGCTCTGCAGCGAACCTTGCAGTCCACACGCCTTGTTCCAGTCGCCTTCACCGATGCCACCCTCCCTCGGCCTCCAGCTTTGGTCCTGCCCCTTCCTCTGTCTCCAGAGAACCCAGGAGGCTACCTCTCTCATGCCCGGCACCACAAAAGTCCAGACTTCCCTCATGTTGGCCTGGGTCAGCCTCTGGATTGGTCTTTTCGCCCTTCCTTCAGTTTGTTCTCCGTGCTGCAGTCAACACAATCTTTCTAGATTTTTCTAGAATGCATGAGAAAGAGTCCCATGCTCCCTAAAGCCCTTTTGTGAGTTTCGGAAGCCCCAGGGGGAAGCCCAAGCTCCTTGCTTCTCACTCACGGTCTTTGTGACTTGGCCTCTTGCCCTGGCTCCCACCTTGGCCTGGCCCTATGTGTCACCCGGCAGACCCTCCCAGACTCTGTGTCTGCGTCTCTGTGCCTTTACACATGCTCCTGTTCTGACCCTGTCCTCACTGCTCAATAGCTGGGCAGCCTGCCTCCCCCTGGTAGGTTGAGTCACCCCACATTTGGAACTGTTGCATGACCATGAACTTGACCTCCATTCAGAAACGTCTCCTGTGCTTGATTTAGGTGTCTGGCTTTCCAGCCCGGCTGTGCTCGGTCTGTGGTGTCTCGGACCATCCCCCACCCCCATAGAACCTGTGCAGAGTGGTGGGTTCATCCGTCAGAAAGCTGGTTGAATGAGACACTGAATGAACACACAAAAGAATGACTGGGAGGTCATTCTGGGGGGCAGATCCTATCCCCGGAAGAGAACCGGGGTCCTTGGCACTGGGGAGTAACACCTCCTCATGACTGAGGCCTGTACCCCTCCTCCAGCCAATTCCATTTTCCTTTTCGCCTGCGACTCATTAGGAGATATGTAACCTTAATCCTTGAAATTGTCTGGGACGGAGCGCGTTTTCACTCAAGGGCATGAACATGGGGATTGTATTCCTTCTTAAATAAATCTCACTCCCCCAGTAAGTTTGGACAGGATGTGGGCAATCAGACCATGGCTTGAAACTGAACATTTTGCAAAAGACCCGTTTCAAAATTTGAAGCCCCCTGGGGCTTCTGAAACTCTGGCCGCTGGCCAGAGCTGAGTCTGGTTGGCGGGGGTCGCTGGGGCCTCCTCGCAGAGAAGGGAAGCGGAGATTGAAAACAAACCTTCAGCTGTCATTGAGCAGGCTGATGGTTTTGCAAGGCAGAATTTTGCGGTTCGGTTTTGCTTGTCTGTGAAACTGGACTGAGCTCGATCACCCCCATCAGCCTTCCTCCAAGCTCTGTGCGGAGGCCTCAGACCCTCCCGGAGCCAGCGTGGAGTCTGACTTCATCCCGACACGGATAGGACAAGCGTGTAGCACTAGCTGGGGCTGCATGCTTAGGGGCGGGCCCAGCTTAGGGCTCGCCCTTCCCCTGGGGGGTGCCCCCGGAGCCTGGGGAGAAAGAGTAATAACATTGCATTATGCCTGTCGTCACCAGGCACGGCCGAATGTTTCCCTGTTTCATCCAGAGACGGGTGACACTGATTCCTCATTGTGGCGACAAGGAAACTGAGGCCTGGGGAGGGCAGCCGTGCGTGACTCCATGTTTAGGACTCCTCCCAGGCTTCTCCTGAGTGGGCTCCCGCCTCCCGGAGTGGTGGCTGAGGCTGGTGCCCCAGGGTCACAGGTGTGGCAGGAAGGATCTTGGGGGGCGGAGGAACACATAGCCCCAGAGAGCAGTCCGCAGTGTTTGAGCCCTTGGGACTGGCTGTCCCGCCGTCCCCGCTGAGCTGTGAGCGAACCCAGGCCCTGGACTGGTCCCTTGGACACGGAGATTCGTGGTCTCTCATTCTCTTTTGACTTTTTATCTTTTTTTTTTTTTTTTTTTTGCCAGGAAAGAGCAGTGTGTGCCTCGAAGTCACCAGAACCTTCCAGGCTTTGGGCTCCTCATCTGTGAGAGGGAAGTGAGTTTCATTCATTTATCCTGCAGAAATCTTGCTGTGGGCTGTGCCTGGTGGGTGTGCCACACGTGGCCTGGCAGGCAGACCCAGCAGGGAGCCACGGGAGCTGCCACTGGAGCTGGGCTTCAGAGTGGCTGGCCTCCTCCGCGCCCCTAAACCTGTGGGCGCTGCCCGCTCCCCTTCCACCAGCACCCCCTCTGTGTTCTCTGGGCCTCAGCAGCCACCGAGGACCTTCAGGAAGGGTGACGTTTCCCTCTTCCCTACATCTGAGACTCGAGTTGGAGCCAACGGCTGCCCAGCCTCAGTGTCCCCATCTGTAACCACGGGAGAAAGATGATGGCAGGGCTCTCTGCCGTTCCCATTTTGCCTGTCGTGGGGAAGGAATGGATAGCTCTCCCTTGGACTCGGGTCCCAGCCCCCCTTCCCTCTGTCCTCCAGGCCCTTGATCTTCACTGGTCTCTTTGGGGCTGACTTGTTATATTTTTCTTTTCCCTCAGATCAGCAGGATAAAATAAAAGACAGTCCTGCCTGCTTGGCAGGGGCCTGACCCTGTCCCCGGCAGATGTTCCCGGGGACAGCAGGAGCTGGTGACCCCCGCCAGCAGGGGCTGCTGGCAGCTGCCCAGAGGGGACAAGGGCAGGCCTGGGCACATGTGTCCCTGCCGTGGCTTCTCTTTCCTCGGCTGGCCCCTCCCCTCCACTGTCCCCGGGCACCACAGGGATCCTGGCCTCATTTTCTGATGGGCCCCCTCCGTGGGGTTCTCCCCTCCGTGGGGAGCCCCCCCCCCCCGGCCAGAGTTCAGACTTCTAAAAGGGCTACTCGTCCAATCCCCTGCGCCCCTGGGGTCACTTGCTGCTTCCCTGCGACTCTGGGCCCCTGCCCTTCCTGTTCTTGTCAGTCCTCTCTATACATACCCTTTGCCCTGTCCCTCCTCCCGCCAGCACCCCCCATCCCATGGCTCCACAGGTCACCTATCCAAATATTTAGTACCCTGGTGAGTGGTGGGCCCACATTCCTCGGTTTGGCTGTTTATGCAGCTGGTGGGCGCTCCTCGGCCTTGGGAAAGCCATACTTGAAGTGTGGGGGGTCACCCAAGGTGGGTAGCATTTCCTTCGAGTGGCCCGGGACCCTCTGACCTGAGTCCTTCACTTTGTGGGTCTCCTGGTTTCTTCTCCAGCACACCCCTTCTCAGGGACTGCACCCTGTGCAGGCTTGGATCCCTACTGGGAAGAAGGACGAGGCAGAGTGGTGGATGGGAGGGGCTGGCGTTGGCCAGAGGCTGAGGCCTCGATGCAGGGTGGCCATTCTCTGGGGTGCAGCAGGGCACAAAGGAAAGGGGTTTTGTGAGCTAGAAAGCGCTGGGCAGCTATTGGAGAAAGAAGGGAGGGAGAGGGGCCCTACAGGGCCCCCCAGCCTGCCTCTGCATAGCCCCCAGGGGGGCCGCTCCTCTCTTAAGGTCTCCCCTCTCCCCCAGCACTGGCTCGAGTTGATAGGTGCTGTTACGTTTGCATCTCACTGAGACCTCCGGTGCTGCAGAGGTCCTGTAGAGGCTCAGATGAGAACAGGGAACGCCGCTCAGTGCCCAAGTCCAGGGCATGTCCCATACCCCTGAAGCAGCTGTCACACTGGATTCCTCCCTGGGATGCACTGGACGGTGCAGCAGAGAGATGCCCTGAGCACAGAGTCCGGATGTCTGTCATTCCCATCTGGGAGGCTGCTGGCCCCGTTCTTCGTGCGAAGGGGCTTGGGCCCTGAGGGTGTGGCAGCACATGTCTGTGGTTTGCTCATCAAGACTAAAGAACGTAACAAACTTTTATGGCTAAGTCTACCAATTCTGTGACATTTTGTAAAAGCCCTGCAAGGAAACATCTGGAAAATTCCCTTCCTGCTCCTGACAATTGTTGCAAACAGCACGTTTCAAAATATACTCAGAACGTCCGGGCTGCAAAGCCCAGAGCTGACTCCTGGCCTGGCCTGACCGGCTAGGGGACAGGGTGGGTGCAGGGCCACCCTCGGCCCACCTGCGCTTGCCCCCTTCCCCAGAGCCCTCTGGGTGCCCGCTTGCCCTCTGCTGTGATCTCAGGGAGAACCTCAGTTTGGGAGGGTGTCCATCTGTCCTTGAGACCAGCCCATTTCTGTCCCAGCAGGGAGAGTGGCTAGGAATGGCCCAAGCAGGGCTCCAAATCCAGACGTAGTCAGGGGTGGGTCTCAGCCTGTGAGGTCAGGGCTGGCGGGGCCGTTGCGTGACCATGGGGCTCTAGGAGCGTCCACCCAGCATGGTGGGGGAGGGGGGGTGGATAAGTCACTTAGTGTCTGGCTCTGGGTTGGAGCTAGGCAGGGTTTATGGATGGGCATTAAATCCTTCAAAGGCTCAATAACGATAATAGAAGAGCCATTCATGGATCTTCAGTCACTGGTGTCATGGAATCAAGACTGTAATCAGTTTAGTCCCAGGGGTACAGAGGATGATAGTGTATTACTTAGTATGTAAGTATTTAATGAAATATTTAGGATTTAAGGGCTGCAGTAACTCCCAAAGTCTGAAAGCACCGACCCGCTAGGCCAGGCCCAAGATGCCCAGTGCTCCTCGTCCCCCGCCTCGCTCTCCTCCACCCTGCTCCAGCCTGAGTTTCTCGTGATGCCAGTTCACCCTTCCCTTCAGCTCTGTCACTGTGGGAGGGTCTCCCCACCTGGAGGTGCTCGGGACCTGCCGCTTGGAACTCCCATGTGTGATTCCATGGCTGGCCACTTCCCGTGGAATTCTGAGTATCCGGAGGGCAGCCGCTGGCTCCTTCCAGCTCCACGTACCCCGTGCTGGCCTTGCCATTCTCAGAGTGCTCCCCAGGGAGTGTCTGCGAGGGACCCATGCGAGTCAGACACGCTCACGCAGGCTGGATTTGGTCTTGTGACTTGGCCCTCTTGTCTTCGTAGGTCATTCTGCATGGAGCCGTGGAGGTGTGGTTTCCTGAGCACGAGTTTTCCCGAGGACGCTTCTGATGCGGGGAGCCCCTGCTTCACTGGGTGAGTTGTGCCTTTTTTGGTTGCCCTTTAAAAGGCATATGTGCCTGTGACTAAGGGCCACACACGGTCTAGATAATACAAAGACTGTAGGTGATCAAAGATGGCTGGAACATGTACGCAGGGCCTCAGAGGGCCCCGAATGCATGCACTACCCACCCAGAGCTGCTTCTGTGCGTGGAGGGCAGGCTGGCCGGATGAGCCACATGGAAGTTGCCCATGGCAACCCTAGGGAGAGTGCACGCAAGGAGGCTTGGCCCCAGACAGCTCTCCCTCGTCCCCGGTCCTATCCAAGCAGTAGGGACCGTGCTCACTTCACAGCTGACTGGGCACCAGAGTCCTTTTTGGCAGCTTGAGTTGGGACTTGAGTTTTACCTTCACCCTCCTGGCAGCAATGAGTCTTTTAAAAATTATGCATAGAATTGCATCTTGTTAACTCATTACTGTGACGGAAATTGCAATAAGCAAGGGGAGCCGTGCGAGTTTTTCCCATAAAAGACACTAAGCTAATAACTAAAATTTATTGTACTGAACGATTCCAAAAACTAGTGTTTTTCTCCTCATTGAAACGAAATACATGTTTATTGTAAAAGCTTGTGAAATACTGAAAACAAATAAAATGAAAAATGGGACGCCCCCTCATCCCAGCCGCTCAAAGATGAACATAAATTGCATAAATGTGTGTGCGTGTGTGCGCGCGCACGTTTTTGTACACACACGTTATGCATGCATATTTTTAACTGGGCTCCTTATTGTCATCCTAATTTTTTCACCTAACTGTATATCCTGAATATCTTCTCCTGCCATTAAGTAATTTTCTAGCTTGTGATTTTTTAGCGGTTATGTAGTATCCTAAGAACTGCTACCTCAAGCCCAATGTATAGCTGCTCTCTTGTCAGATGTCTAGATAATTTTAAAAGCTGGATTGTGTAAGTTGGGGTGAGCACCTTTGTTCATCCCACGTACATACCTGATGTATTCCCTGAAGTTCATTCTAAAAGCGGAGCGGTCATCTCAGAAGGTGCAAGCATTTGATGGCCACATTGCCCTCCTTAAACTTTGTGCCAATTTACAGTCTCAGAATTAGTTTAACAAGTGACTTTTTCTATGGGGATTATCAAGGTTTTGATACTGGCCAATTTGTTACACACATTATTGTCGATTTTATTACCTGGGATCACAGCATTGCCCCCATATCTTTATTGGGTCTTAGTACTTGAATTGCCGGTTCAGGTTCCTTGCATTTTGCATCTTTCCCTTGGTTTAATTTTTGTTGAAGTCTTGCACATGCTTCATTTAAGAATCAGGTAGTTCTAGAAGCCTGTTGTACAGGTATCAGTGCCCACCCACCCTCCGGTCTCCCTACTCCACCCCATGTCCTGCTCCACAGAACCAATGGCTGTTGACTCTTTTAACTCATTCTCTTGACATTTACATCCATGTTTCTAAGTAACATTCTTATTTTTCTACTTCTCAATCTTTTTTTTTTTAAGCTTGAGCGTTATCTTGATTTTTCAACCATCGAGCATATGTCCTTGGCCTCCCCATCCACAAGCATACCTCTGTGCCCCTCCCCATTCTCTTAATATATATTTGGTTCATAGTTTTTGGTTTGGTCAGGATTCAGTGTTTACATTATTATAACCACGTAAACATTCTTAGGAGCTGAACAGCAGCATTATGATTATTCACCCCTTCTTCACAACTTTTTGTTTTCTTTGGAATTAATAGTTATCTGGGTTTTGTTTGTTTGCATTTTTTGTTTAGTTTTTAATGAATTTATCATAGATGTATTCTCAGCCTCTCAATACATTCAAACCCATTCAAACAATTTTTAAAATGCGTTTTATCTTTTTGAAGAAATCTCCTCCTGGAGCCTTCTTGTCTCTTCTGTTTTGGATTGGTTGATCTTTGGGATTCCTGTCCTCATCTACCCTCATTCTCTTCCCAGGGATTCCCCTGATCCTATCTTCTTGGTTGGATCTCTGATTTCATAAATCCTGGGTTATCTTTTTTTGTTTACTCTCTGTGCTGCTAGAGTGCACCCTCTAGCAGTTATCTCAGAAAGGGCTCATGGGAGGTATATTTTTGAAGACTTTCCACATCTGAAAAGGAGAATGTCTAGTTCACAATTGACATGGATAGTTTGGCTGGGTATAGAATTCTGGTTGGTCATCTTTCTTCCCCACAGATTTTGAAAGCATAAATAATTGTCTTCTAACTTCTAGTGCTGTTGCTGAGAGGCCTGAAACCTTTGTGATTCCTCATCCCTTGTGTGTGATCTTTTTTCCTCCCTTTCTGGAATGTGCAGGATTTTTCTATTGTGTTCTAGTGTTTTAAATGTCATGTATACACATCTTGATGTGGATCTATATTCATCCATTTTGCTAGGCCCTTTTGGTCTGAAATCTGTTGTAGACAGTTTTTTTTTTTTTTTAACAATCCTTAGATAATTTCCTTCCATCTGTTTTTCTAGAACTTTTATTTTTTGCATGTTGGATCTCTGACTGGTTCTCTAATATTCCCAAATTTTTTTCTCTGATTTTCAAACTTTAATTTCTTTGTTCTCCAAGAAATTTCTGTCTTTATTTTTAACCTATTTTCATTGCTGCAATCTCTTATTTTCAAGATTTTTTTATTATACTCTAAATATTACAAAATTTTGTTTCATGGATGCGATTGCTTTGGTAGTCCTGATAACGTTTGATATCCCTGATAATATTAAGGATATTTTTCCTGAAATTTTCTTTTTCCTACAGTCTCCAAACTTTTTTTCCCATCCAGTTGTATGTGTCTCTGACTTCCATGTTATATGCTTTCTTCAACTCTACAGATATATGTATAGGTACACACACACACACACACACACACACACACACACACACAAATACACTAATGAGCTGTTTGAAAGCTCTTGGCATTCAAACTGATGATCCAGTTGGGATTTGTAGCTGTGGGCTTTACCGTAGAGTGAGCTAGTTGGTGTTTCTATTGGGTAACCCCATGTTGAGCATTTTAAAACCTTTTTTCTTTTGGACTGCTCAGATGCTCCAAAGGTCTTTTAGTTTCTGGCCTAGAGTCTGTCTGGCTGCCACTGCTCTGAGAGGCTGGAGGAGGAAAATGACAGAGGCGAGTGGTTCTCAGCATCCGCCTTGTAACATTTTGCTTTCTTCCTCTTTTTAATTTAGAGCTTTTACTCTCATCTGTGCCTGCTGTTTCTGTATCCGTCACCTCTGCTTTACTTTCTCTGGGCAATACATTTTCAGTCTTTTCTCAAGATCAGGGAAGGCTCTGAAGTCTTGGTGAGGATTTGGGGGGATGTCTTCTTAAACAGACTCTCAGCCAATTCATCCTAGTTAGGCTCAGATTTTCCTGCCACATTGAGGCACCTGGTGCTGTGAATGCCTGAGACTTTCGTGGGTTCCATGGAACACATCAGCCTTTATTTCAGCCTTCCTTACAGTCAGCTTAAGATTCGGTTTTCCCAGTTCCGAATCAGTTTTCACTCTTGTCTTGTCTGTGCCCTTGTGTGCTTACCTCAGAATGAAAATCTCTTCGCCCTCATTTAGTGCAGTTTCAAGGGGGCAGGCAGGTGAACATCTGTATTTAATTCACTATATTGAACTGAAAGTCATTTACCCATTTTTCCCTGTTGGTGTGTTCCTCTTTGATTTTTTTTTTTTTTTTTATCTCATAAGACATTTTTCACAAGAGCAGTAACTTTTTCTATCACGTATTTTCAGTGTCCCCCCACCTTTTTCATTTGCCATCCCATTTTACTCAGGGGGCTTTTCATTTTTTAATTTCAAACATTTTTAAAAATGTTCTAAAAAATGTTCTAAAAAACCTATCTCTAATTTCTCCTCATACTTTGTTTTTCCATAGAAAAACCTTTCCCACCCTGAGCTTATCTGGGCATTTTTATTTTTTTCTAGTTCTTTTATGATTTCATCTTTTATAGTTGAATCTTTAATCATTTGTTTATTGTGAGAGATAACTATATGTTCTTTTTCCACGTGTACCACCTGCTAGATACTTTCGTAGTTTTTGTTTCTTGCTGTGGCTTTCCAGGATTCAGTTAATCTGTTTATTCTTATACTAGTATTGCTTTGTTTTAATACACTATTGTTGTAATATGTGTTGTAATTTGTTAGTTATAGTCTTTCATTCTCATATTGCAATATTTTCTTCATTGGTCTCATTTGTTTATTTTTCTGGATGAAGTTTGGTGATGTCAGGAAGTTAAAGACATAGATTTTCTGTGGAATTTTATTAAATTGAAAATTAAAGAGAACTGATATTTTTTGATACTTGGCTTTGTATAATCTTTCACCGTAATATATATATAATATATATAATATATATTATATACATATTATATATGTATATTTTATATATATATTCACAATTTGTCAAATTTGACAAATTCACAATTCATCATTAAGTTCATTTTAAGAAAGTAAATATTGCTTACATATTTCTATTGTGAATTTGTTCCTCTCTGTTTTCTAAACTGGTTACTACTAGCATGTAGGAAAGAGATTGCATATTTATTGTTATTGGCTGTCTACTTGAATTCTTTCATTTTTTTCCTACAAGTTTTTATTTGAATGTTTTGGAACTTCTAGGTAACAAGTCCTGCATTTCTATATAATATATATTTTGCCTTTTTTTTTTTCAGCATTTCATCTCTTCTATTTCTCTTGATTTTCTGATAGTATTGGCTAGATCTTCCAAAACATTAAATTGTGGAAAATAGAAATCTTTATCTTGTTTCTGGTTCACTGTCAAGTATGATAACAAATAATTTTCTGAGGTATATGTTTTTTTATAATGTTAATGAGATATTTATTTTTAGTTCATATGACCTTAAAATCAGGAATGGGTTTAGAAAAATGCTTTTTTGATTAATATATAGAGATGTTTGTGTTGTTTTGTCTGTTGACTTGTTGATGAAATGAATTATAATAATGTTTCATAACTTTGAAACATTTTTTGGATCAAATTCTACCTTGTTATAGAGTATTGTTCTTTTAATTTACCACGTGATTGTTTTGCTAGGATTTCACTTAGGCCTTTTCAAATTTATTTTTTGTTGGTTTTGGTATCCAAGTTATGTTGGCTTTGTAAACTGAATTAGGGAACATTTCATCTTTTTTCTGTATTCTGTACCATATATGCATCATTTGAATGATCTATTCCATGAACGCTTGAAAGAACTCACCCATGTAACTCTCCTGGGATAATTCTTTGGCAACTTTTCATATTTCTTCTGTATTCATTGGATTCTTATGATTTTTTTGCATCTGTAGAATATTTGCTTCTTTTTCTGATGTAGCTCAGCATTTAAATGTGGAAGTACTGGAATCGGACAACTTGGGTTCAAACTCTTACTCTGTCATTTCCCTTGTGACCTTGGGAAAACTATGTCTCCTTCCTAATTCTTGGTTTCCTCAGTTGTCAAATAATTAAAATGAGAGCCTGTAGCTGAGAGTGCCACTGTGAGGATTAAAGAGATAAAGTAACTTGCACCTTGTCTGGCACATAGCGAGTGCTCAATGATTTTTCAAGACCTATTATTAATCCTGGAAAATAATAGATTTTTTTTTGAGATTTAAAAGCTTCTTAGCATAGAGTCCATAAATAGTATTTTTATAACATTCCAATCTGTTTCTATGATTATATCACTTTTGTCATTCTTAATTTTGGGTATGTGTACTTTATCTCTTTTTTATTAGATGATCTTGAGGAGTGTCTGCTTTAGAAGTTTTTCAAAGAATCTGTTTTTGGAATAATTTATCAATTAAACTGTGTGTGTGTGTGTGTGTGTGTGTGTGTGTATGTGTGCGCTCAAATTCAATAATATCTGCCTTTATCTTTACTGATTCTTTCCTTCTGCTTTTCCTGAAGTTTGTTTTGTGGATCTGTCCAAATATTTCTTATGTTATTCTTCTTAAATAATGAAAACATTTCATGGTATGAATTTGCCTATGCTTGTGACTTTGACTGCACAAGTTTTAATATGTAGTTTTTAAAACACTTAAAAAATATGTGTAAATATGCTTTTCATTTCTTCTTGTTCTTAGGAGAAATAATTATCTGAATTAAATGTGCAAAGTAGAGCTTGTTTTAAAATCAATTTCTAATTGATTTGGCTTGTGTGTTGTTGCTTATGTTGTTTTACTCAATTGTGGTTATATTTCATTGTGGCTTGGAGAATACGAATATGTAGATTCTACTTTGGAGAAATTATGGATGTGTTCTTTGTGCCTTATATAATCAATTCTGTAAACATTTCATGGACCTTCAAAAGTAAGGTGTACATCTGGTTGATAGGATATCGATTCTGATGTAAAGACATTTAGTTTTATTAGGTTTTCTGTTGATTCTTTTGGATTTTCCCAGTAAAGAAAGAAGTAATCGGTAAACATAACTTAATCTCATTCCAATACTTTGTAACATTTATCTATTTGCTTTATTACGTTGGCCAGAGCTTTGGGGACAGTGTAACTTAATACTACTGAAGTAAGCACCTTTTATTTCTTATTTCCTGTTAAAGATGATGTTGCTTGCCTCTGAATTTGGGGTATGTTTATCATTTACTTTTTTGCCCAATTGATGTCTTTATAACTGAGAGGGCGCTGGAAACTATCTCTATCTGTTTCTCTCATTTCCCTGGGATGCTATTTTATTCCTAATGTAAATGTCTGTGAATGTTCTATCATTGCTGTGGATTGTACCTTCCACCTCTGAGAGGTGGCTTTTATCGACCTATTTAATGATTTCGCTCTTGAGTACTGGACATTGCAGAGGCACCTCTGCTTTATTTTCATTTGTGTTCCGGAGTTAGGCAGCCCTACTCTCCCACGTGAGTGTTTCTAGAAGTCTGTATTCAAGGCAAAGTGTTTGGAAGTTGAACCAGAGACTGTCATGTTCCCAAGTATTCTGCTCCTCAAGAGCTCAATATTCTGTATGTTTCCAGGCAATTTCTAGCATTCCACGGATGTTCTTTAATTTTGTTCTTTTCAAACACATAGTTGACTGCCTTAAATTCAATTCCTGGGGCTAGAGATGGGCCCCATTGGGTCTGCCTGATGATTTCCATCTTTGTCTTAATTTCTTAAGTATGTATGAGATCTATGCTCTTACAACGGGTATCAGCAACTTTATTTTTCCATTTTTCATTTATTTTTACAAAGAAAAAAGAGCAAAGTGTCATTAAATACTGCTTCTCCAATGCAGCCACACCCTTTATTCAGACCAAATATTACCCAGAAGCCCAATAAGTAAAATGGATCGAATCAATGCTGCCCTATTTGGAGCTGGGTGGGGGGGGTGACCTCGAGCCATGGGTATCATTGCAACAGAGGCATGGGGGGACCCCAAGGGCACCTCGGGATACCCCGTGAAAGCCTCTGCAATGACATAATTTAGGCAATTGCACAGCTCGAACAACTTTCTGTATACGCAAAGGTGGGGGTGCCGTTGATTGATGGCAGTCAGCTGTTGTATGAATTTTGTGCGTTTTGAGATGTCAGTGCATGATGGTGTGGGCTTCCTGAAAACCAAATGCATGATCGTTGAGGCCTTCCTGTTTCCCTGTGCCCATTCCTTGGATTTGAACTTTTTTGAGTTAATTATTTCAAGCGTGTCTCAAGTAGACGACAGATACTTTGGATTTGAGGCTTTGCCTTGCCTCGAGAAACCTCGTTTTTAAGGCGTATGTAACCCACTGACATTTTCATTTTTTGATTGTCTTGTTTGGACTTAAAGTAATTGCACTAATGCTTGTCTCATATGTCCTGTCCTTGCTTTCCTGATATCTTTTACTGTAGAGACCACAGGTTTCATTTTAAAAATGTTCTCTGGTGATTCCTAGAGCACGCAAGCAGTTTCCAAGTGTGTTAGTGTTTACATTTCAGGGTTGTTGTTTTTTTTTAAACCATACTTACATCTGTATTTGTCCACGGTAAAAAAAAAAAAAAAGAAAGAAAGAAATAGCCTTCTCCAACTTCGTGTAATTATTAAGGCGAGTGTGTATCTGGTTTTTTTTCCCCCACTCCTCCTGTTCATATGCTTCCGATGATGAGGTCTGAGGGGTCTCATCACTGTCTCCTGTTTGCCTCCCCACCCTGTGTGCCCCAGTCTTTGGGAGGAGAGAGTCGCCTCTCTTTGCTTTCTCTGGGCCTGGCCCCTTCTGCAGGAGCTGAAGCTCCTTGCTGTTTCCGGGCTATGGATTGCGTCAGCCTGAAACCCTAGCACTTTGCGCAATGCCGTGATCTCCTGTCAACACGTGGGTCAAGTGACCGTCTCTTTCCCCCTGAGCCGGTGAGCTCTGGAGAGGCGGGACCACTGAGTCAGGGCAACCTTGGCCTCCACACGGGGCGATGCCATGGGTGTGCTCATGGCCGAGTGTCTGCAGGGATGTGTGGACCATTGGTGCGTGGGAGAGCGACTGAGGAGCAGACAAGCGCATGAGTGAACCTTTGAGGGGGATCAAGGAAGGCACACACGGGCAACAATTGAGAGAAGGGCCCCGCCAATGGACAGGTGGCGAATGGGGCGTTGATCGGGGTCTGGGAGAGTGAGAGGGGCCTCCAGCCGCCGGCCATCTTTTTGGGGAACTGGGTGCGGAGGGTGAGCATGTCTGCTTCTCTAGAGCCTCAGGAGGGCAAGGATGCTTTCAGAGTTAATCCCTGCCGTTTGGAGCTGTCCATCCCTTCATTCTTCGCTATTCTTACTATTCGTTCTACAGAATGTCTGGTTCTGGTCACTGGGGATTCAAAGCAGAGGCCAGTGTGACCCCTTCCTGCCCAGAGGAGTTCCCATTCCAAGAGGAGACATGAGTGGCGTCCTCTCCAATCATGGACACAGAGAAACTAAAAGCCATCAAAAGGAACTCCCCACAGCGTCCCCCCAGTAGCCTTGCCCCATTGCTTCTCTTTACCTGATGACCGGTGGAGGAAGCCACCTGCTGCTGGCCCATGGCACGCCGCCACCTGAGCACGGGCTCCACCCCGCCTTCCCCATCTCCTCTGGAGCCTTCCACCGTCATGGCCGGCCTCTCCCCTCTCCCGGGCCCTTCCCGTTGGGTCTTAGCATGCTGTAGTGCCTTCAGTCTTTAAAAAATCCCAGGAAGCTGCCTCCTCCCTCTACGTGCTACCCTCTTGGTGCTTTCTCTGTATCTCACTTTCATCTGGCTTCCACCTCTACTGCTCCACTGGGAGAGCTTTCATGAGGCTCACCAGGGGCCTCCAGCTGATGGCTCAGACTTCTCGCTGGCGCTTCAGACTTGGCGCCCTTCTCGCCTACTTTCCATGCCAGACCTCTGCACGGGTTCTTTCTGACCTTTTCTTACGGCTCGCTATTCCTCACCTGCATTCAGGGCATCACCGAATCTCTCGCGTCCTTCTTCCTGACTGTTCTCAAGCGTGCCCGCCTCCCCACATCCATGACCCCTACCCTGCCCAGGGTGCAGCTCTCGATTTTGAACTCCTGTACTCTCTCCCTCTCCCGCTCTTGCCCCTAGAAGCCCTGTCTCTTCATATCAGCAAGAGCTATCGTAGAAAAAGCACGAAGCTCCCATCTTTTATCAGCTAATAATGGCTTTCCTGCGCCTGAGTATAAAATCTGTAATCTTTAACCTTCATTATAAGCCTCTGAACGATCCAGCCTCCTCCTAGCTCCTCAGCCTTATTTCTGGCACGTTTCTGGCTCTCTGCGCCCCATTCGCAGGCCTGCTCGTTTGGTTACCACGCTCCATCCAGACCTTGCTTCCCCTGTCTGGTCCGTGCTCCACCTGGACCCTTCTCCACCCGGTCCTCCGCCCTCCACCCTGCATTTCCTCTCCTGTCCCCTCTCTTCCTGTTGTCTTGTCCCGTCCTTCATCTTTTGCTTTAAACGGCTTCTGAGGAGCTCCCCCTGCCCCCACCCCGCCTTGGTTGGATCTTCTTCCTAAATGTTCCCAGCTCCTTCCCAACACTTTGGCCTCTTTTAATTTTGGAGTTAATGTCCTGCGACAATTATATCAATGCGGGTCTCCCCTGCTAAGCTAGAGGTTGCGGGGGGGGGGGGGGGAAGAGACGATGTTTTATATTCACAGTTCCAGCACCTCAGGAACGTTTAAAAACCATGAACTTACTTCTCTGCCTGCTCACATGGAAGATGGGCTGGTGCTGGAAGAGGGACACAGGCGGGGTGCTGCGGAGGGTCGGGGCACGCCTAGGGCTGAGTTGGCCGAGGTGGGGTCAGGACTCGGGGAGCAGGAAAAGGGTGGGGGTCTAGGCGGAAGCCTTGAGCGCCATTCTAAGGGCTTTGGTCTTCAGCAACGGGGTTGTGAGCAGGGGGCTGACATGCTCTGCACCGGGTTACAAGACTTGGTGGGTCCCCCCACCCTGCCGCCCGGGAGCCTGCTCTTGCCCCGTCTTTGTAGACCAACCGGTGTCATGGCTGTGTGTTCCATTTCTGCGGGGGAGGGGGGGGTTGACAGTTGGACCTCGAGAGGGGATGGAGAGACTCAAGGGAAGCCTCTTGGAGGAGGTGGAGATGTGGAGCAGGTGCAGGGGCTAGAAGAACCCCCCCCCCGGCCCCCTCCCCACTCCCGCTCACCGGGGTGCGGGACTGGCATATACCAGGGTGGGGTGGTTGCTGTATGGCAAGGACTGTCCTAGCACGGGTGAGCTCGGGCAGGTTCAACTACCCCAGAAGTTGAGGGGGCCCCCTGTCGCCTGTGAGCTCTGCCCTGGAGCGTCCCACGCTGCCATGCAGAGCAGACCACTGCCCTTCACTTTGAGGAAGAGATAGTTGACCACGTGGCCAAAGCACGGTCAACGTTGCGTGGTTTGCCTCTCCTCAGGCTCTCCGAGCTGGCACGGCCTTCCCGGGAGAGAGGCCACTTCAGGGTAGAGGCCCTGCCCCCCCCATTTATGTTCACCACGTGTCTGCTTCCCAGTGCCAAATCAGAAAGCTTTCTGGAGGTGACAGCAACTTCAGGGACAAGCCCCGGTCTGGGGTCAGCACCACTCCATGGTTCCTGAAGAGGTGGTAGACTGTGGAACGTAGGCTTTATGATTTTTGACCTATGTAACATGGTCCACTAACTCTCAGTATCCACTCCATCCTCGGAGGGCACCCCGGAGGTGTTGCCAACGTGAGGGAAGAGAACACTGGGTTTAGCTCCGGCACCGCTCCGTGGTAGTTCCCGGTGCCTCTGCCCGGTGTCCGAAATGTGCCGAATTGTGCCGGAGGCCTTGTGCCAAGGCCTATTACTAACTGCACCCTCTGGGCGGTTGCTGGAGGGGAGGCAGCTCGGGGGCAAAGACGCTGATTCCAGCCTCAGCCGTGGTGCTTGAAGAGATGCTTTTCCGTGTGGCGTATGCACGAGGAAGCCTTTGCGTGGCGTGGTCCCCCACTTCCCGGAAGCCCCACCAGCTTCGGGAGGGCTTCGTGGGACCAGTGCCGCCTTCGGGGGGAGCCACCGGCCCGGCCTCCGTCTTGCCGTGTGGTTTTGAAGAGCTGTCGCCCCTGTGTTGAAGTTCCCGTGTTTGTGCCCATGCCCACCTCTGATCGATAATTAAATTCAATCTCAGAGGGCTTTCTGGAGGCGGTGCCGAGATGGGGGAGGAAGCGGAGGTTCTGACCTTAGGGAGTCAGTTGGCCAGAACAACATCTGCTTTGCTTACGAAGATGGCGTGGTGGTTACTGCTCAGATCCAGTCCGGCCTGAGAGGACCTCTGGGAAGTGCCCCTGACTTTGAGGCGGAGGTGGCCGTGAGTCTTTCCTCGTGGCGTACGTGTGTATTTTCTAACGCCCGGTGCCAGGGTTTACAGCCTGGGCTTCACATGCCCTGGGACTGCCTGCTTGGCCTGCTCAGCATGACTGGGCAGGCGTTCTTTCCGGTTGCACGCAGGCCGTCCCAGAGCGGTCATTCGGCCCGCCGCTCCCCCACGCGGTCCCGTGGGCCAAACGCCACGGCCGCCCTCCCGCTGTGCCCGCCCACCCGTTCCCTCCGATCCGGCGCGGGGCCCGGCACGCAGTGAGCACTTGATCGGTATTTCCGGAATCGTGAAATCGGTAACGTCGTCCGCTCCTGCTCGGTGGGACTTGCGGCCTTGGAGGGCTTCCTGGAGGAGCTGCCAGCTTTGGGGATCAGCCACCAGTTCCAGCGTCGGCACCGACTCCTGACGGTGGAGACAAGACTCCTAGCCTGTTGTGTGCTTGTCGCATGATGCATGTGTTGTGCTCGACCTGCCTTCTGGTTCCCCCAGCTCTGGAAGGCTTTCTGGACCTGCCCGCAACCTCCGCCCTCGGCGTCCCTGTGTGGTACTTGGAGAGATAGTAGACCGTATAGCGTACGCTTTATCTGTGACGTATGTAACACGGTCCACTAACCCTCAGTATCAAATCCATCCTCGAGGCTCCTGGGGACGACGCTGTCTTCGGGGAGGCGCCGCCGGACCCAGCCGCAGGCCTCCTCGTGGCCCTCGAAGACCTGGTTTTCTGTGTGGCATGTTCTTTTCTGCATGATGCAAAATGACATACTCTCGCTCTTCTCGTACCAAGTTCTGCCTCGGGAACTCTCACCACCTCTGGGGAGGAGATCTTGACTCCCTCTGGGATCAGTGCTGCTCTGTGGCGTTCAGCGACGCGGTCGACTGCGCAGCTCTTGTCTAGCGTGCATCATGGCCCGCCTCTTCCCAGCGTCAAGCGCAGCCTCGAAGAGGTCCCCCGGGGGCGCCCGTGCGGACGCGAGCCTCCTCCCGGCCGTCGCTGGCACCGTGCGGTACTTGAAGAAATGGTTTACCGTCCCACATACATTTTGAATATGTATGTGGGACGGTAAACCGCTTCTTGGTATCTAGCCCAGCCATCCAAACCATCCCGGAGAGAGCCTGAAGTCGGAGAAGCAACGCTGGCCTCGCTCGGCATCCTCTCTGCTCCGCGGTGCTTGGCCGAACGGTAGACTGTTAGGTGTGTGCTTAACCTGTTAATGCTTGCAACACGGTCTTCTCCTCAGTGTCAAGGGCAGCCTCCAAGGGCTCCCCCGGGACAATGACGCCCTCCAGGGAGGCACCCCGCGCCCACGTTGGCACACGCCGCCCCCCGCGGACTCGAAGAAACGGTGGCCGGTGCCGCAAGCGCGCGCGAAGGAGGGACGTTGCGCGTTCTGCCGCTTGCCTTCCTCAAAGCCATCCGCAGGTGGCCTCAAGACCTGGCGCCCACGCGGAGGCAGGTGTGGGTGCTCACGAGACGATGGCCACTCCAGGTACCGGAAGGCACGCCGACCCGTTCTTTTCACTGACGATGCGTGTGCAGTCTATCTCTTTCCCGTGTCGAGTCTAGTCATCTCGGGGAGGGTGCCCTGGCTCTGGGCTCGGCACCCACGCTCCGCGAAGATCCGATTGGCCCTGCCGGGTGCGCTCGCAGACGATGCACGCTCCGTGGCTCGCTTCTTCCCTCTCTGCAGTCCGGCCTCAGAGTCGAGTTCGAGTGCTGGTTCTGGTGGCGGCACCGACCTCACGGTACCTGGAAAGGGTTCGACCGCACTGCATGTATTTTAATTAACAGCGTATGTAACATGGTCTGCTTCTGGTCGGTATCAAATTCAGCCTTTGAAGGTCTCCGGGGAGGTCACGCCGGCCTCTGGAGACGAGGGGACCCGTGGCGGCACCGGCACCGCTTTGGGAGACTCGGGAGAAGTTGACCATGCTTCATACGTTTTCCTTAACAACGCATGTCACCCGGTCCACCTTCTCGTAACAGCAGGTGCACCCTGGGGGGCTTCCCGTAGGCGATACTAAGCACCGGGCGTAGTGCTCGTTCGGCGTTCACCTCCACTCTGGGTCCTCGAGGGGTGTCTGCTGCGTGCACTGCATCTGTGGCACACATTGCATGGTGGCTT